CACCACCACCACCACCACGACGTACCCTTCGATGCTTGATAACGTCTTCCAACGCTGCCAGACAATATCAGACATGGAACAGAAGGCTTGCTGCCCACACCCATGTCATGGTGGGGATGCTGAGTACAAGAAATGAGAGTGTCGACATTGGGGGGGGGCCACACAGTTAGCCGTGCAGTTTTGGGCAGCGGCGCTCAGTACCAATCGGGGCTTGTCGCGGGATCTGCTCGGCAATGAAGTCCTCAGTACACAAGATCAAGGAGGCACTCTGCAAGTACAGAACCACAGATCCTGTGAGGCCTACTGCTCACTCACATTGAAGCTGGAAGTGTAGCATGCTGCGTGGCAATTGGATGCCTAAAAATAGAAAACGAAGTAGATACACCAGGCGGGGAATAGAATCATGAACTTTAGGCTCATGAATCACGGCATATCAAACACCTGGAGTCTGCTTCAAACCTGCAAAAACACAATTTGCTCCCAGGCAGGTCCTGGATGAGGGGTGCCATGTCCCTCACATTTCGGACTTGGCTCCTGCTAACTTCACCTTGCCGAATCACTGGGCTTGCGCGTGGCGTGTAACATCTAAAGAGCAAGCGATACTTTCGCCATTCAAGCTGCATCTCTGCATAGGTTCCTCTCCCAAACACGCTCGTTTGTTGCTCTTTCTGATTCCCTCCCGTCCCAGCTCTTTGATCCACACCCCTCCCTGTCACAGACTTTCCTTCACTTGTCCTCTCTTTGATTTCAGTACGTATGGTCGCATATTCTCATGCAGTAATGTCTGAAGTCCCTCATGACCCACTCTTTCCCTCAGTGGGCTTTGGGCTTTCTTTTCGCAGCCCTTTTTCGTCACTCTTGTGCTAAAAGCAGTGGAGGGTGTATCAAGCTCAAGCGACTTCGACGCACATTCCCAGAACGTCCAGGCTAAACTGGAGTTGCTCTGGCGTGTGTTTAGCGTTTTTTTTTTTTGTCGAATGGCTTGAAGCTTTGCATACTTTGCAGACCGAACGCCTGAACTTCGCAGCATGAGGGCCCAGGTTTGACCTGCCAGGGATCACTGGCATCCAAGACTTCATCTCATCCTACAAGAGACCTGACATGTAAGTATACGATACCCTGGGACTGCAGAGCTCCTTGAGTTGCTTCACGACTTGTCCGAACAATGGGGCAGCCCAAGGGCTTCACAATGCTTCACAACAATCAACATCTCAGTGAAGGGCATTGGCTTTGAAGAATACCAGATTCTGAGTCTCAGGGTCCAGCCCCGCTCGAGAGCGTACTCGGAGCCGAGCGTCTGGCGTCGGGCAGTGACATGGGATGTGGGATTTCAGACACAAAAATTCAGACGTTCTGATGTCCACTGCAGCGCTTTGTTAGCCTTAGCTGTAAGGATAGGTTTGTAGAGTTCCACAGAAACCAAGCCCCACTGGATGTCTCAGTAACCTGCGGTGGAAACTCGGAAGAGCTTTTCATCCGAAAGCGTGTGAACTGGATCCCTCAAAAACTAGGGTTCTGTACACCAGTCTTGCTTGGATGCTCGACAACAATAAAGCCTCATTCCCACTGAACAGGGGAGAAGGTCCAGGGAAATTGCACACAAGATCCCAAACCAGGGGAAGGGTGTAAGCCGCTGCACTGGATACAGTCCAGCCCCTGTAATTGTCATCACAGTATGGAGCACGTAGCAACTCTGGTAAAGAACACCCAGAGCTTACAGAAGTTGAAGAGGTTGAAATGAGCCATGGATCTTCACAGGCTCTGCGTCACTGATCAACCTCCTGCAGATCGCTAGGAGGAAAAGGCTGGGCCTTGGGCTTGCTTGTGTAGGCAATGCACCAGTCTGAGCGTGGCCTGAGGCCAATTCCAGAGACCAAGATCTCATGTGCCACTTGCCCGGCCAGCATATATGTATCATACTGGACCCCGTTATCGTCTACCAGTACTGGTACAGCTACAGCAGACACGGGAAGATGGTCAAAGTTGATTTGGGGCCACGAGTTCCCCGAGCATCGGTCACCCATCCACTTGCCCTTGTCTGAGAAGACTGCAAATACAGTGACCCAACCAGAGAGAAAGCTGGGCCCTGATCCTCCTCCAATCCGGTTTGCAATGCGGTCCCAGAAATCCACACTTGGATGTCCTTCTGCAGAGCGAACAAATTCATCAAGCACGGGCGCCATCAGTCGGTGCCACTGTGTCATGCATTGGTCTGGAAGATCAAACTCCAGAAGACGATCGATCTTCGTCCGTAGCATCTTCCAATCTTCAACAGTGCCTAGCAAGGTCACTTTGGGGATGCCGCAGGCAAGCTCGAACACATACTTGAAGTAGGCTTGGAGGGTTGCCATAACAGTCACTGAGGCTACGATACGATCATTCTCGGTCGTGGTGGTGAAGCTGGGGATCATCCATTGGGCAAGATCGGGAGCCTTGATGTTCTGGGCAATCTGCTCATCAACCATGCGGGAGGCAAGTCGTCCGAAGTCCGCCGTGAAGAGTGTACCGGCCGACTTGACTACTAGGGTTTTGCGGCCCTGGAAATCTACGAGACGTTCCCTCAGATTCTCGGCGTTCTTCTGGACATAGAAGGAGAACTGAGTCAGAATCGCTTGCCAAAAGTCATCTGGCCTGAGTTCCAGTTCATGGTGCTTATTGTAGGCATCCAAAATGGTGGAAACAAGTCCCCACCGAGCAGCCAGAGTGGCTCTGTCTTGTCGATCCACATCACCAGAATGTTGAATGACAACAAACTCCTGTTGTGACTCATCCTTGAGAAGCGCATGTATGATGTCCTTCTTGTCGTCCCTCTTGCGGAAGGCACGCTTTAGCACTTCACAGCCCTTCAAAAGCACGTGGATACTGTCCGAGTCTCGCCTAGACACCGGCTCCGTGTTTACCCAGTTTCGTGTCGCTGTGAAACTCGCAAGCTTCTCTTCGGGTGAGCGCGACGAACCTGGGATATACTTCGCAGCGAAGGTGAATGGGCATGCTGAGCACATAGTTCCCACATTTGCCACCAAGCTTCTCACCTGCAAGAAGATGACTAGGCAAACTGACAAGATGTTGAACAGAACAATGAGCTAGAAACCTGGACATAGACCTTGCATCTCAATGCCGAACGTATCTTGGTAAACTTAGAAACCCGTCCGGAGAACACCCCACAAGTACTTCGACAAGCGAAGCCTGCGAAGCCTTTGGTTTGGCGTGGTCAGCTTGCATGACAGCATATGCCAGCGAGGCAGATGAGACTTCCTTTTCCCTGGACCCACGAACGGCTGCGTGAAAGACCGAGATGCCTACAGGTGGTGAGGCTGCATGCGCAAGGCTGGTTTGACAGTACCGCAGGATGCGGCTCAGGACACACGCCGACGAGCACACCCGTCTATTCGAGGTTTTACTTTCTATCATTTTCTAGCCGATTGCCAGTACTCCCGATTCCTGCTTGCGGAGCTGAGACATGAGAACACTTGGAGCCGGACCTCTGCTACGAGTTTGGCATCTGCAGATGCAAAGCTAAAGAACTCCTCCCAGACATGCGCCAGGCGCAGCACCTAGGTGTTGCAAATGTCCCTCGTGATGCAACATGATGCAACCTCAATCGGACTTGGATGATTCCAACCTTACGTTGTCCTGCTCAAGCTTCTCCTGAGGTAACCTTCTTTCTCTGGCTTTTGAAGGATTGGAAGTCAGGCCAATGACATGCGTGGTGTCACCATGAGACCCGATGCCGCCAACTTAGAGGCGGGAGTCGCAGTCTGCCCAAAGACTTGCCAACAGACTGTGCTGAGCCCAGTGCTGGCATGAAGTCCACAGCCTTGGCAGCTCGGCTGCTCGAGGAAGGGCCGACCACCAGGATTCGAGGCCTCATATGCCATCCAAGACTCGGAGGAAGTCTTCAGTTCGCGGCAAGGCATAGGACTCCATAGGACCATGGGACATCGAAACGGCACGAGGCTCTCAGCATTTCTAAGCTGGAGCTGTCTAAGGCCCCTGCTCGTCCGAAGTCCACCATTGCTTCAGAGCTGCTGCAGACTCATGGCGCTGGGACTGGCCAAGCTGATCATAAACTGAAGGAACTGAACACACATGACTGGGACTTGTAGAACAATCGCTTGGGTGGCCTCCACAAGGCTTGACTAGATTAGGTGATGGCAGCAGGGCCTCGGGAAAGGTGCTGTCCATGAAGTTAGTGAGTCCTTTGCCACCACCAGCACCTTCCTGCCACAAATGGAGTACAGTGTTTCTTCGTAAAGCCACGTCAAGCCTCATCCCGCCCAAATCGATCGGAGTACATCCAGTGCTCCACAGACATACCACGCGCATATCTGAAGACCTGGGCTAAGCATCGTCATTTCTGACACGAGCACCAGAGAATGCCGTTGGCACTGAGTGATTGGCCACAGGCAGCAGCACCGGCTTGAAGGGCAGGAGGGACTGCAAACAACAGACGATATCGTGCAGGGGCTAGAATGGCTAGAACTAGTGTTGCCCCTGCAAATGAGGTGCAATTCGGTACAGCCATTTATCGCAGCTCAGCAAACAATCGGCTTGATCTGACACCCAGTCACTTGCTGGGCTAATGGTGCGACAAAGCTGTCGGAAAAAAACGGCTACAGACTGGGATCTCTCTGCTTAAGCATTAACACACGCATGTTACATGTGTTCATTGCGAGCTCAGGGGAGGCAGATGCTGCGTAAAAGGCAGCCATCCGTGCGCCACGAGGTCACCAGCGAGCTCCTCGTAATTTTCCACCAATTCCTTCCGCCAATGGCAGATATGAAAGAAGGCACAAGTGTTTGTAGCCAGGATAGCCCGGAGGTCCTCTGCACAACAGCGAGGCAGGGGCACCTCGCCTAGAGTGCCTCAAGGAGCTTTCTTCACTTCAGTCTCAAAGCTGATATTTCATCATCTAAGCACAAGCCTGACCAAGAGGCCATGAGCCATCTGATCTTGACAACCTTTGCCAATGCTTTTTTTGGCTCGTGAATGAATTCAACAGCCAAGCCAGGAAAGGTTCTCAACCGATTGGCATCCACGGAGCCCTTGCAAGCTTTCGCAGGGTTCTCCAAGGCTCCCCGGATTCGTATGCCACACGTGCATCACCTCCAGAAGGACGCCCGGCCACAAACACTGCAAAAGAAGATTCGGTTTTAAACACGTCCAAGTATGCAATCCCGGCTAGCCACCCCCTCTTCACCAGGGCAAGAGATAGTTTTTGTCGAAGCCCGTCTTGCGTCGTTGGCCCGGCCTACGACAGCACCTTCCCAGTCGATAAGGGCATCAAACATCCAGCGCCCATTGCCCCCAGGCGAGCACAGAACGTTCCCGTCATTCAGATCCTGGCTCAGGTTACCCACACAGGATTTGTTCAGTGCAGAACACATCGGCCTGATGGATCAGAGTCGGCGGTATGGGCTGGATTCCTTCGGAGAAACTTGATATTGGAGCATTCAGCACTTGCAGTGAAGCCACACCTGCCGAGTGCAGGCTTTCATCCAGTTTCCCCAGCGCATCAAGAAGCTCCAGCGCCTGACGCATCAAATAAACTTCTGCAGGGGACACGGTACAAAGCATCCATGCCACCTGAATTTGCCCCGCCAGTTGCTGCAGGTAGGCTGTAAATGCGAAGCAATCCTCCGGACAGGCAAAACAAGGCTTGGGATGATGACAAGAAAATGCACAAGTGCCTCAAAACGAGGCAGCGGCTCCGTGCTAACACCGATCAGGCTACGAGAAAGCAGCTTCTCTTGAATATCCTGAGGGTCCAAATTCCAACCAGTCAAATGTGTCACAGCACCACAGTTCGGCAGCAAAACTAATTACCGAGTTCCCGTCCCGTATCGCATGCCGCAAATCCTGCACAAGGACTGATGATAAACCTCAAGAGATCACCTGCGCCTCCCTAAGCCTAGCATCCTTCTTCACACATCTCTGCCCGCGGAGTGAACTGTCCCAACACAACCAGCCTCACGCGGGGCAACCCGCTCGTCCTGGTCTCCGAAGCTACACGCTCTGAGGCATGTGATTTCATTGCCATGCACAATTGTTTGGGCTTGGCGGTAGACGTGTAAAGCCACGTGGGATTCTAGGCGGGATACTTCGGGTGTAACACTCCCCAGGAAGGGCCAAGCACCCTTGCCTCCACCGTCGCCGTATTCACAAATTCATAGACTAGGAAAGGCACGTCGCACAGCGGCCCCCAGGATTCCACCTGCTCGAGCTCGTGTTGATGGCGACTACCCACACACAGACTACCTCTTCACCGCACCGCACCGCAGGGCTGTGAGATCTTTGCGGGCACGCGCCTTCCCGCTGGCCAGGATCTGCGGCACACGGATGCCGGCCTCCTGGTAAGAGGGTGCATGCAATGCTTTCGGGGATGGATGCAGTCACCAAAAGCGACTCGATTACATGGTTGCAAGGAGCTCAAACAAATGGCACCAAGGTCACCCGGCCTGGGCCAGCGCAGTGGCTCTCGAAATGGACTCAGCACTGATAGGTCTTTGCAAATGGAAGAGCCTCAGAGGCATCAGTCAGGCCAACTGCAGGATTATCCTCCTAATGACGCGATGACTGCGAAAAGCTGCACGGCCAGTGGCATGTCTTCTGACAAAGGCAGTCTTGGGCAAGGGACTCTTTGTCTCCTAGCTCAGAACCAAGTAGTTGAAGGACAGCGCGTCCCTGCCGTGCCAACCCTTATGCTCGCTTGACATTGCGGATCCCACAGTCTTTGTGCGACCTTCAAAGCATCGCGACTCAGAAGTATGTCGAAATCGGTCAGCTGGACTCTTGCCGCAGATCATTGATGATCATCTACTGTGTCAAGCAAGCCTCAGCACCGGAAGGCAACGCTCCGGCAAAGTCCAAGAAGTATGTCGCATGGAAGCTCACCTGACAGCTGCCGATTGGCTCGGGGCAAAAAACTATTTGTCACATGACGTGGAATGGAGAGGAGACTATTGATGGCTCACGTCTGTATAATGCCACGGAGATGTGACGGGAGCCAGTGACAGTTTGTCCTGCAGGTTGAAACCGGTGTAGTGGTGGAAGGAGGAAGACTTGCCCTGGCCTTATGCTTCGTGCACCGCCGGATCTCCGGATAGCCCATGGAGAGCAGGATTGCCTCAAAAGGGTTCCCATCCGCAAATAAACCTTCCACGCACCACGAAACTGTCTAGAACCTAGCCAGATCGGAACAAACTGCTGGCCTCAACTTCCGGCGGTGCAGCACATGCAGGCATGGCCTTCGGATGGACTGGCTGAACTATGTGCAATCGGCATAAGCTGCATGAGGACTCGGACTACTCTGCCTGAGTGGTCAGCTTGCAGTTGCGACATCAAGAAACACGGCAGCCGAGAAAGCCTGCGAATCTAGCCAGGCCTCCAGAAGCTCGGGCACGCGGTAGGCATCACGGCCACGCCCAGATTCGGCGAAAGCCATGTTTCTCTTGATGACTGAGGCTGGCACACAGGTTCCCAGAACTTAGGGCTCTGGGAGCTTGCAGGTGCGATAAGCTGGGGGCATTGCAGGACAGGCATTTTGTAGCTTGCTCTTTGATGTGCCTTTGGCTGATCCTTCCGCCTCAAGGACTAATGATTAAATTCGGTTCGACCCATGTCAAAATTCCCATGTGCTCTCAAGGGTGGAAGTGAATGTCAGCACTCTGCTTCTGATAGAAGCTTAGCTTGATCAAGGAGAGGCGGAGACTGCAATCGGCATTATTCCTTCGCATTCTGATCCTGGAGGTCTGATATGTTCTGTGCCGCAAGTCAGCCAGGAGTTTGTTGACAGGTAGCCGTAGCCACGCAGGGCCTTCAACTCCTTCTTGGTGACATCCAGGCGGCCAAACCGCGCGTGGTCTCCGTAGGTGTGAGCTACGTCCTGCATAGGAGAAATCTCAGCCCATACAGAAATCCTGAACCTCATGTACTTCGCACTGGTCCTCCCAGCCCGTTGCAAAGGACTTGCAGGTGCCGTCATTGGGATCATAAGCTTGGACGAACCAAACCTCATTCGACCTGAAGTGCATGGCGACTTTGCAGCATCCACGAAATGAAAGCTTGCATTCCGTGGTGCCATGCTACAACGCAGCATACTGTCAACCGCTTCCTGCCACTTCCTGAGAGTAAAGCCTCAACACCTGCATTTCGAAGTCCTCGAGTGTGAGTTCAACAGACCTTCGCTGCAAGACAGTGCTCGTGAGGATGTCATCCCCGTCACTCACGCACTAGGCAAGAAGATGTTCCATAACAGGTATCGAAGACAGCTGGGCGACGGGCGACTGCGACTCCAAGGTCTTCTTGGCACGGCGACCAGAGTCGTAGGCCTGCGAAGGGCAGAACTTGCGCAATCCGCCCACGAGCTGCATCAATGTCTTTTCCGCTACAAACACTGTAAACGCAGGCTCCCTCACGCATGAGCAGGTGCCCCAGGTGGCTGTGGCTGCATTTTGCGTCTGGGTGAAAAGCTGCCATGTGGAGGTTCAGGACCACGAGGACGTTGCTGAGCGCGAGCAGAAGCTGTGGTACTTTCCTCCGCCCTCCATCACACAGTACATTCTGCCCTGAGGCTTATGGGCTAGGTAGCCCGCACGCTCTTTTGGCATACACATCTGCTTATTCCTCCAAGAATGTCCATCTGAATTGCCAGCTCAAGGTTGGCTAGCCCTGTCCTGGATCAGAAAAGCAAGCACTCAAACCAAGGGCCACATGCTGATGTCCTCCTTCAAAGGTTCCTGGAGACCTCCTGGCCGGCTGAAACACGTTCTGAAACATGGTCTTCTGCACCTGCGCCCAGCAACTACAGCACTCAGGCGGATAAGCAGTGCAGTAGACACTCCAGGTCAGCAAAGTTCAGCGAGCACCTCCTTGTGCGCACGCAAGCCGCGTTGCACAGACTGGATCTCTGCTCGGATGGTTCGATCCTGCTTACACAAAAACTGTGTCTGGGACCGGAAGAGCATGTTGAATAAGCTTAGCAAGACACATCTGAAACCCACTCCTGTTTATCATTAATGCCATGCATCAAGATCCAAGAAACAAATCTGACCCTGCATGATCTCTAGAGGTACTGCACCCGACTCATGTCGAAGAGAAGCTGCAAATCCTTCTGATATCTTCAAGGCACTACAGCACAGATGGGATCCTGCGGCTGAAGCTCCGCGGCCTTCTGCAAATCCTGCAAGGCTGCCTGATTGACAAGTCCGTCTGCTGCTCAACGTCCCAGCACGAGGGCTTCCAGTTTGGGATGCACATGCGATATGGCTTAGCACTGCCAATTCCATGAACCCACCCACCCACAAGGTACCGATGGCAACAGAGCATCAAGAGCCTCGAAGTCACTTTGTCCTGCCATGTTGAGCAGTAGTAGGAAGTTTGTTAACATCAATTTCAGTATGGGCTTGCTCACACGTTTTCGAGGCTTCGGTCGATATCCCATGTGGCATCATCAATCATAGCATCATGGCAGACTCGGACTCGCTGTTCCAGATTGTGCTGGACCCATCAACCCCCATCAACCNNCCCCCCCCCCCCCCCCCCCCGCAGCGCCTGCAGCAGCTTGGCCACGTCGGAAAAGCGCCTTAAAATCATCTGCAAAATCATTCAGTCACCTTGCGGTGCTTGCACTAGGACCACTCCTCACCCGAGAAGCTCAGCTGCTCGTTGAAGAGCATGTCTTAAGGGCTCAAAAGGAAGATGATTTCAATTGCTGAGCCAAACACCTTGGCGTTCTCAGGCTCGGCGCCTGAGCTCCAACACAGAGCCTTCCCAAGCCTTATGGTAGTCTGCATTGCAAATTCACGATTCGATGTCTTTTCCTGGCGGGAATTAATACTGGATAAGGGAGTCACGAGAATTCTTTAAGATTTCTCAGATGTGCGAAACCTCTTGTAGGTCCTGCTCAGTATTCCATACCAGGGCGAATCCTGCTGCTTTGAATTCAGGCCGGGAGTTGCACCCCTGCTACCGCCCCGGGGTTTGTTTGGCAGCTGAACCACGTACAAACCGTAACCGATGTTCCACTGACAACTTCGCACCGTTTTTCTGCCACATTCTACATTGAATAACAACTTGCGCAAAAACCGTCAACCGGCTTTCTGCACCCAGCTACTCTGTATTTGAGAACCCAATACAAGCTAAACGTCTGAATGCAGCATGAGTAATTCAGGTCAGGTCGAATTGGTGGACTTGCCATTTTTCCGCCGCCGGCACTGGAGGCTTTGAATTGAGCTGGGAGCTTGAGTTCGCTCCCATCGAGGCCTCCACCAGTTTTTGATGGAGCTAGTAAGCTGCTGGACAGAATGAAGACAACCACAACAACGAAAAGAACCTCCACCACTGCATAACTGCAGAAGCTCCGAGACCGCCAGCCGCGCTCACGCATTTAATCGAGAGGCTTCTCAGGCCACCACCGTAACATGTGTACGGTGGGTCTGCGCACAAGCTGCAACCTGAAGGAAACGTTTCCGCACTCAGAACCTGACCAGTGCAATCCTGACCTGCATATTTTTCAAAGGTGACGTTACCACCAGCCTCATGACAGAAGGCTTTCAACCAGTGCTGCCCCATGAAATTGTTCGGAGGTACGCACTCAAAGTTGTCAGTGAATGAGTGTCCAGTAACCCTGCCACTACACGAGGGAGCCGCATACTGCTTTCGCCATGGCAGCACGTTTGCACAGCAGCTCATGGGAAACATGAGCAGGGTCCATCTGCAAATCATCGGGAGCGTCCGCTGATGCCGTTATTTCAGCCGGATCACATCCATGGGCCAACGATGCTCAGGATGCCACAGGCCCAACGCATCTTGAGCCTAGAGCAGAGGTGTCTTGCAATGCGGGTCTGCAAGGACTGGCACGGTCTGCTACAGCTTCGTCTTAGTCTGTCCTTACCGCAACCATCAAAAGCAGCTGAAATCCAGAGCATTTTCTCGGTCATGGGAAAAACTTACAGCTGAAGCAGGCGCAGGGCCTTTGCCCCGGCTTGCAGGTTCCTAAGGCATCCTATGGCTGGATTGCAACTGGAGAGCCGAGGCATCCCATCAAGGCTTTCACAGCGCAGTCTTTGAATCCAGCACATCTGTTAAAATTTTGATTGTGCCCGGGTGTAGCTTGACCTGGGGCTCAATTGCTGCGCTCAGCAACAGGACGCGAACCCTCGCTCTCACCCAAACCTTGCTTCCTGAGCTGCAGGCACCCATGTGATCTGCATCGACGCTGTGGACGGTGCACGTGGCCGTGGTCCACAGTGCCCAGGCATCGTAGCTCTCGTGTGACCAGGGTGCAGAACTTGATGGGCCAGAGTTCGTAATACGGCAGTTGATGTCGCGGCAGCGTTGTAGTTCCTAGCAGTATCTATACAGATAGTATGGCCACGAACTTTGCAGGTTCACCAGCAAGCTGCAAGTTGTGCACAGCTCTCCTCGGGCAGCACCTTTTTTGTCACGTCCAACCCAAAATTCCGGGTGGCCTTCAGGACATGCCTGGCTGTTTTGAGCTCTAAAAGGCAGCAATATATGTAGCCCTTAACTCACAGGAAAAACCTTGCATATGTTGTCATCTCATGACTACTTTTGCCACTGCTCCAAAGCCGAGGATCAGATCACAATGGAAAATGAAGAGGCCTGACAACGCACTGCACACACGCGCTTCTTTGCAGCGACGAATGCCCCAACCTTCCGGCCAAAGATGCTCTTGGCAAAGCTTTAGATCCCTTTTCCACATTTCGATCATCCTCTGTGTGTCCTTTGACTCATGTCGATTGGGCTTCAGCATCAGCTTGTGCCTGAGATCGATGATAGAAGCCACTGTTGCATCACAACGTCTGAAAGCTAGCTCACCACGTGGCCACTACGTGCGATTGTTGATCCCCACACAACAGCACACAACACAGGGCCAGGTACACTGTGGGATTGAAGCCCTCGAAGAACTCGAGAGGCTCATCCATGCAAAGGAGTTGGTAGCCCTCCTTGACAAGCGGCCACAAGGACTCACAGCGACTCAGAATTCTGCAAAGTCAGCACATGGGCCAGCCGCATTTAAGCCTGTTAGTTTGCAAGCAGATTCCTCTGTGTAGATGCTGTGGTGCGGAGCTCCGCGGTCAATCGCAAACATTGCCACGGGCTGTAATCCCATGTGCTGCTTCAGGCGCATTGCCACCTTCACCCAGCACAGGGCAGGCAGAATCTGCTGCAGCAGCAGAAATATCCGAAACGCTTTCTAGAGCGTGAAGGCTGCAACCCCTTTCCGGACTGAATCCACGTTCACTGGCATACTAATTACAGTAATAGCCAGGCATGCGAGAATGCGCAAGTTGGCATGCGTTAGTCCGCAGAGAGCCTCCATCATCACCTGGCACCCCATTGAATGCCCAGCCAGCGCGAAAGGCGCTCCCTCAAAGCTGCCACCCTGCACTTGCACCGTCTGTTATCACGCCTGACTTGTCAAATAAAAGACATTTCAGCCGGCAGACACATGCCAAACTGGCCTTGGCATGGGTCGCCAGCACGACCTCCAGCGCTCGGAAAGCATCCTGCAGGATGCGCAGTCCGAGAGTGCATGCTGAATTTCGGACTGGCTGTCTCACGAGAAATACTTCGGATAACCTGTGCGTTCCACAGCTCCTCTGCATCCTCCACCAGTTTCTCAGCGAGGGGTTCCAGGGATCGCTGGCCGTGTCCAGGACGCTCATAGATGGCGATATCTATCCAGGTAGGCACCTCCGGCAGCAAAGACAGACGAGGTCTTGTCAGGACAAAATAGCATTGATTCCTTGCTATTCGCGCAACCTTGAGATGTGGCTTGGCCCGTGTTGACGGTATGATCTGGCATGGCAAGCAACAGGCTTGCCTGGTTCACAAACTGTATCCAGCTTGCTACGCTGTCCCCAGCACCGGGGAAAATGAAAAGCCGCATGCGAGTGTTGAAGGTCTCCACAACATCCAGTTTCAACGGCCTACAGCTGAAGCCACGAAGAGCCAGAGCACACAAAGTGGAGCTGCTTTGGCAACATCGGCCATGACTAGGACTCTCGCATTCCAGAATCCCAAAATGCAAACACCGGTGGCTCTTGGGCGTGTCTAACCGCAGCCATGTGTCTCGAGATACCTTCGGAGATCTTGTCTGGACGGTAGAAAACGCTTCTTGGGATCCAAGGAATTCCGCATCGGTGGCAGTGTCCTTGGTCATCTCTGCTGTCGCGATTGAATCAATGGGTGGAACGTGCCAAGGGCTTGGGAGTCCTGAGCTGAGATTGAGTACATGGCCAATGGCCATTTTGCCATTCTTCTTCTGGTTTGGAGCTTGGAGTCAAGGCAAGGATGCAGGAGCTATGTGCACTGTTGGGAGTCTTAAGCTACCTCGCCTGAAACGCTACACTTTATCAGGGATGCCATGCGACTTCTTATCGAAGTCCCAGCGGCCCCCCGCGCCACTCGTTCGGGGCCTCCGCAGCCCCCAATGCCTGGCAAGGTCTGTCAGCGCAAGCTCTACAATGAGATTGCCTGGACGTTCCAAAAAGGAACCCTTCGTAATTTCTCGCACAATCATTAGGAGGGTTTGCGCTGGAACCCAATCGTGGCATGAAGCAAAAACGCCCTTCTCACATCAACTTAACTTAGCCCTTTCCCAACAGGTTATGGGGACGAGGCTCCTGGCGCGCCGCTTCGTCATTGCCTTCCGCAAGACGCGCCTGTGCCTCCGCCTAGATCAAGAGGGAGTTTCTTTAGAGGAGTCCGTCGTGGAAACTGTGGCTGTACACCATCGAAGTGTTTACCGGCCTCCATGTCGTCAAAATCAAACGCCATGGTCGAGGACTATTTTTGGACTATGCTCTGCAGCTGGCCTGTGAGCTGAATTCCGTGAATGAAGGCAACTAGGATTCCGCAAGCAATGTGCTTCATGCCATGTACTTCACCAAGCTCGGCAGATCCATTGTCTTTGCTGTCACGATCTTGGAATCAAGGACTGCGGCAAGCAGAAGCAGTCTTGGAAGGGATGTCCCAACAAGCCAACTCTTCCGAACCCCTGGCTTCGTCCCACGAAATCTGCAACACCAGATCTCTGAGCCCATTACCCAGGGCGATATCAGCCTCGGAATGTCTTCATAGTTCACCGAAGCTGACTGTCCAACTAACCCTTCAACTGCTTCCATATTTATTCTGCACCAGGCCTGTGATGAGAATGCACTGCAACATCAAACAGTACTCCATGCGTCGAGGACGATTGGTAAAAAGACATGTCCATGTGAGATGCACAGGATCATGTCACAAGTGATGGACAATGTCACATGCACCCAGGGGGGTAACGAGACACCCCAGGATTGCAAAACAATCAGATCAGGGAAGAGTCCTCACGAGACCCCGCCCCCCTGTCAACAGGTTAAGGCATCAAGGGAAGGCAGGGCGGGACAGGACTTGACAAAAGCGACGATGATGAACAGTGCTACACCAACCAACCAACCATGCAACAAAGAACCCAAAAACAAAGAGTAAGATGCTGCAGAGCCAGAGCCCCTCAGAGGCGGAGACATGGCGCCTTGCCAGTGAGTGCAGCCCAGCCTGCACTCTTGGCATCAAAAATGGCCAAGGAAAAAGTGGTTCTAATACAGTAGAGTTGGGTAGTCTTGGGCATTCTAGATCAACGCGCAGACGTGTGAAATCGAGCCTTGTTGCCACAGAGCGATAAGTTCAAGTGCAGTGCGACGAGGTGACTGCGGCGGGTGGAGACCTGCCACTTATTAAACTATCAGGCGGTTACACACGCACAAGCTGAGGCCTCCAGAAAAAGATGACGCCTGCGCGCCACAAAAGAATGAGCCCCTCGATGCCCATAAAGCCATGCGAATTTGCATGGCTTGCCTAAAACTAGAAACTTGGTTCCAGATCTGTCTATGCCTGATGTCAGGCCAGAAGTTACCAAAGCTGACTGTTCCCGACCCCCCGTCATCGCTATTCCGAAAGCCGGCTTGTGCTCAGACTTGACCTCCAGCTATGTGCGCCTCCTCCTCAGAAAGGCCCTGAAGAGGGTTCTCCTCGAGCGCTTCGCGACTGTAGGCGCCTGCGCTTGAAATGGTAATGGTGTCAAGGCGCCGTAGCCCTTCCCTGGCTAGAACAGCTGCCTTGAATATGCCCGCGCTCCGTCGGGAACAAGGCCTGTGAGGAAAAGAGGATAAATTACAAGCTAGCACAGCGGCTCTGAGCAGCCTGTTTTTCTCCCAGTCTTATGAGCAAGCATCTTCCAAACAGACAAGTACATCTGGTAAGAAGCAAGGAGCCTTGTACATCGGGCTTCGTCGAACAGCGTCCAGCCTTGCCGTACAAAGTCCGATACCCGGGCAATGGTCAGTTCCAGCCAGGTCGACCAGACCCAATTGAAGCAGGCGACGCCCGCTTGTACGCTTCAGAAGCCTCTTCATACCGACCTTCACGCGCCAGAGCCTCAGGCACACACATGAAGCAGCAGCATCAAGGAAAGAAACGAAAAGCCACATAGCAGCTGAGCCTAAACAGCCTTGCAGAATATCAAATCAAAATGATTAAAAAGCATGCCAACTAAAATGCACTGTGGAATCCGAGGCCTCTCAAAATGCTGCTTTTCTGACAAAAGGGCTCCGAACAGCTATTGAAATTGAAAGCGCCAAAGATGTGCACTGGTCAAGCGCCCATTTTTTACGCGGAGAAATGACAACTTTTGCTTTGTCAAGTTACATCAGCTTAGCACACGTTTTCCTGACAAAGTTCCTGAGTTTTTGTGCCTTTGTGCCCGTGCACGGCAAACAGTCCTGCTGGGTTTGCCACAGCTTGTTTGATGAAATTCAAATGTCGCATATTCTCGATGTCATAGGATGGCGTTCTCTGATACACATGCGCTTCTCCTTCGGAGTTTGCAGGGATGATCCTCTTTCATGATGATGATGATGATGATGATGATGATGGGGTGAAGACTTGGTCAGGTCAGCCCTACACACATACCGCCAGGGTTGCCAACAGAAGTTGAGTGCGCAGAATGCGTCCGAAGAGTGTACGTTTCGACTTGCACCATGTATCAGAGAAATGCTCACATGTAAGCAGTATTCCCGAAATTAGGAGGAAGGAACGCCACTAGACGCGCTTTGGACACCTCACACCCAACAGCCGACAAGGACTGTTGAGGCCCATTGGGCTTTGTTGCCTAGCCCTGGGGCCTTTTTGGGAGTTCCCAAGGAAGGTCCTAAACAGCTCCACTGACTGCATGTGCAAACTGCAAAACCAGAAAACAGGCAGCGGTCCAGTTAGGTTTTATACTGCCGGAAAGATTGCTACGCTCAGCTGTCAGCATTTCCATGTGCCCGTTCGAGCTCCAGGAAGTGCAGTTGACCTGCCTCCTCCTGCAAACATTGTTAGCGCTTGCAATAGCACCACAACTCTTCTCATGAAGCGGATCTTGAAGACAGAGGACAAAATACACAAGAGAAGCAGCTTCCCAATCCAGCAAGCACAAGTCTATCGCTTCTGTCGCATCGAGCAAGGCCTGAAAAGGGAACGACTGGAGGATATGGGGCACATGCACTGCAAACCAACAACTTAGGCAGGGTTGTTGATAGGAAATGCTGAGACAGAGACCAGTCTGAAACCTTGGAGAGTGTTGAAGATCATGCAAGGTCTCAAAGTTCGTTGCAGTCGCAAAACATCTTTGAAGCCTGGGGACTGCCGTCCTCCACCAGCGTGAGGTCTGCCCATGCAACTGGCTGTCCCTGTGCCTGCTGCTCACTTATTTGCACTGGCAGGGTTGTCAGGGCTGCTTAAGAGCTCCACAAGTACATTTCGTGCATGTTAACTACCTAAGCCTCAGAGGCAACTGACAGCAGAAGTTCTTTGCTGGGCATCGCGCAGCCCAGTTTTGTGGCAAATGATAGGGCTGTCGAGAAAGGTTTGATGGGCTGCCTGACAGACGACGCCAGAGCAGCGTGCAAAACTGGGAAACAGCAGGTCCACAGGCAACGACCTAACAAGGACATGACATCTGCTCAAATCTGGTCCTGTATCATCCAGAGCAGTAGGCGCCGCTGCCTGGCTTCAGCGCTGCAACTCGTGCCACGCAAGTGAAGCGGACACGCTTTCCATATGACCTCGTCATCGGCAAGGAGCTCGTCTAACCTTTCCCAAGCACATGCCAATGAAGATGCTGCAAGAAGAAATGAGGCAATCGACGACAAGATTGAATTCCTTCAGACTGACCTTGACTCACCTTCAACATGTGAACTTCTCGCCGCGAACAGCATCATTCCCTTCCTGCAGTTTCCGAGCCAAGGGCAGTGGGCGCAGTTCGCCAACCTCCAGAGTTCGCCTGAGCAGTATCATGATACATGCAAATCCAGAGTATGGATGTTCAACACTCAAAGCAAGGCTTTTGGGCCAATCGTCAGATCCAGGTGCACTAGTCTTGTAGCAGCACTGGCAGAAAGCCTTTTCAAACGGATTGAAAGTCCCGACATGCCGGTCTGTCAGATTCTAGAAGCTGGCAGACTGGGGAAGCTGTCAACTTGCAACCTTTCAATAAGATGTTCCACCAATGGTTCAGGCAGCCGGGCCGTCAAACTGCCAAAGTTGAGGGTACTTGGCCTGAGCCCCTCAAATGGTAGGCGGGTCGCAAGGAAGGCCTTTGCCACTTTGGGATCTCCGTGGTTCAGCAGCACGGCTGCCTGCAGGCAAATTGCCAATCTGTCCACGATGTCCCTTGCTTGCGGCTCCAGAGTGGCAGGATCTGAGGCTAATTCGGCGTGCAGTGCTTGGGTCATCGTCGCATAACAGTTGGGCAGCTGTTGGGAAACTGCGTCTGCAGCTGCTACTGCGGACTGCAACTCGTCCATCAAAGCCAATGCACTCTCCGGCTCTCTCCGAAGGGCTCGCAGAACATCCAAGCAAATCACATTTCCCGATCCCTCCCAAATTGCATTCAACGGAGACTGACGGAAGAGACGAGCTATAGGCCCCTCATCTACATAGCCATTTCCGCCATGGCATTCCATGGCCTCATACGCCACAAGCGGGGCCCTCTTGCAAACAAAGTACTTCGCAACTGCCACGGCAATTCGCACGAATGATGTCTCCGAGCCATCTAGGCCACGGCCGAGGCGCAACCAGGTTGCCATTGCTGCCTGCAGCTTTGTCACATTCTGTTTACCCCAATTTGTTTTAGGCTTCAGGCCCAACTCGAAATCGGATATGTAAAGCCGCAAGTAAAGGTCTCAAAAAGATCTTAATTGGAATGCCAGCAGCTTCTGACTCCAGCGCCAAATCAGCCAGCACACATCGCATTAAGGGCTGTTCCAGGAGCCGGCGACCAAATGCCGCACGATGGGATGCATGGTGTGCAGCCAGCTGTGCACTTAATCTCATCAAAGCTGAGCTACCAATCACGCAATCCAGCCTGGTGTGCACAACCATCTCTACAATCGTTCGCACGCCGCGGCCCTGAGGTCCAAGAAGCACACCCCAAGCATGGCGGTACTCAACCTCGCTCGATGCGTTGGACTTGTCACCAATCTTGTCCTTCAAGCGCTGGATGGAGAAGCCGGCATTACGACTGCCATCTGGAAGCCAACGCGGAACGATAAAGCACGAAACGCCCTTCTCAGTTTGGGCTAGGGTCAAAAAGGCATCACTCATGGGAGCAGAGGTGAACCACTTGTGTCCGATAAGGTGAAATGGATCCCCTGGACTCTGCCTGAAATTGCTCACTGGCTTGCCCTCGGTCATATTCGCACGAACATCCGAACCACCTTGCTTCTCCGTCATCGACATACCCATGGTCGCACCAGCTTTTGAATGAAACGGAACATCTTTGCCAGAGTACTTGCATGAGATCAGCTTCTGAAGGAGATGTTCAATGTAGCCACCTGGATCATCCTGATGTCGACGTAGGGCAGGAACCGCCGCAAACGTCATGGTCAACGGGCAGCAAACTCCAGAATCAAGCTGATACATTAAGTACATGAGTGCAGCACGAATCACATGGGCTCCCTTCTTCCCAAAGTTATCAGGCTGCCAAGCAAATGCTGCAGCGCCAGACGATATACCCAAGTCCATAAGGTTATGGTAGGCGGGGTGGAATTCTGCTGCATCTCTGCGGTTGCCAAACCGGTCATGCGTCTCTAGCCTGGGTGGGTAGCGGTTGGCCTTCAGGGTGTGGAACAGCAGCTTTTTGCATCGAATCCTAGACTGCTAGACAATCATGGACAAGTTTTGCAGAGTCCTAAGCCTCAGAGGCTCGTGTCTGCCACTCCTCACTGCCAACTGCTGTTCCAAGCTCCGTCAGGCGAGCTTCGCCCCAAGCACCACCATGGCCAGCAACTCCGTCTCTCAAGGCCGGATCGCAGAGGAATGCATTATGCCCTGAGAATGGACGAGCTTGATTCAAGACCCTGTGCGTGGGCTGGCCAGGAGTCAAGGCTGAGGCCACGCACAGCTGCTCTGGCTCTGCTGGCCTAAGTATGCCACCGCCCTGTGCCTGCGGCTTCTCTGTATGCTCTACAGCATCCATTGCTCGAACATGCTGCTCGGCGAGAAAAAAAACAAAACGAATTAAACGGAATTGTTGTATTATCTCATCTGTAGCCGCGAGTTTGAAGGGTTTGTGTCTGATGCCTTGCTGTATTGGCAGCTGTTATTCAGGTAGGCGTCCATCTGCAAGATTGTCTTGCTTCTGCTTATGGCAACAGCTGAAGGAACCTTGAGACCGCATAACTGCTGCCAGTTGCAAGGTCCTGCTATGCTCGCTGTACAAGAGCTTTCAAGGAATACAGGTAGCCTAAGCGGCATTTGAAAGCGATTGAATGAAGCTGAAATCAAGGTGCACATGAACTGAAATCACCTCTTGCCCTCTCAGTTGTCGCCTTAAACACCTCGAAAGAAAAAAACAGCTAATGACTTACTCTCAATGCTTCACAAGCAACTCTGACCAGCTCTGAGTGGCTGGCAATGGCGTCTTCCCTTCGTAGCTTGGCCCTGGCAAAAAGCTTGACCAGTCCGTGCAAAGCAGGAACACCGCGATAACTCATAAACCATACGCATGAATCTCAATTGATTTGCCAACGCGAACATCAAGTAAAGGCTCTGGATTCGAATGCAACTGCTCACTTTTGCAGGTTCAGCGCCACCCGACACTACAAAGCGCGTAGAGAAAGGCAGGGAGGTGCCTGTTGGTCGACAAAGCTGTACTGTTTCCGGAGCTTTGAAGTCAGCACATTCACAGAGTCTCATGCTCGCCTGTCCACAACATCTGAGCACTGTGACTGAACTCCCTATCTGCTGCTCTCTTATTCCTTGTGCTCATAAAGGCTCGCTAAACTCATTCGCGCAGGCCATCTAAGGCATCAAACCCCAGCTGAGAACAGACCGGCTCGGGACCGTACCACTGCAACTTCAATGTAGCCAGGGACTGCCTCAGAAATCGACTGCTCTGCCAAGCTGATGGTACGGCAGCTTCTTTCGGCTCCGGGCCTCCTCACCTACACGCCACGAGAGTAGTATGGGCTTGCTCTGACCTGCATCACAATCTAAGACCAGCATGTACCAGCCAGGTGTTACTAGGAGTTCAATGTCAGCAGCTCAGTGTATACAACTTAACGCAGTTGTCAAAAATCCTGGCGCGGACGTACATGAAGGTCGTACAAAAGGTGACCGGGGCGGCTGGTCATTGCCATGAGCTCTTGATAGATGCTGTTGCTGAGCAGGGTGCTAGAGCTTCGCAAGGCCTCTGCAGAAACTGGTGCATGCATGAAGTATCACACAGCAGCTTCTGCCACCTTGCTCTCGCTCTGCCCCGTCTTCTATTCATGCTTTCTTCCTGTTCTCTTGCCTTCTTCATGACCTAGAGCTTGTGACACAGATTTTGACCAGGTTATCGGAGTGTCAGTATACGGGTGCTACACGAAAGCCTTTGCGAACCGCTTTTGCTGTTGGACATGTTCCGCGGGCTTCCTCAAGCCTCCGTTCAGAGTCAGGCTCCTCCCCAAAGTACAGTACGTCTCGTCCTAGATATAAAGCTGTGAGGCAGTCCCGGTGTATCACCACAAGGACATGACGGATCTCGAGGTCCTTCCGCTTTGGTATCTTTCTGCTGTCGCTGCCGCATGTCCCTGACAGGGGTCTGCTAGTTCACAAACGCCCGTTTACCAAGCGGTATCCAGCACCCGTGTTTACCAGCTCTCCACTTCAGTCACTTCAGATCCTGCCCACCACCCGCCTGCCTCACTGTTGTCCAGCGTAAGCTGTTGATGTGTGTCGGCCCGTTAGCGCTAGTGTCATGTAGATGCGCCCGCGACAAACAGCAATTCGCTCTTTCAGTTTGTTACATCCGTCCGTGAGTTCATAAAGATGAGCCCTCTGCATTTCTCTGCCTGCTGCAAAAAAAGGGCTGTTGATGACAGTGGCATAGAGACTTGATGTACCCACTCCTCCACCGAGGCTGGGGTCCCGAGCGAGCGTTCGGATCCAGGCCCAGCCCCCGCTGCCCCTCGCCCCTTTATCCTGCTGCCCCCCCCACTCTGCCCGCCTGGCCCCACAACAAGCTCCGCGGGCATGATGAAACTGGTTAGCAGACGCCATCGCAAGTGACATTCTAAATGCAGAACCTTGCTCTGCCTCCAAAATCTCATCGGGGTCCCTAATCCTGGATGCTCAAAGTGATCACCTGGACGGCCGTCTAGGTCGAGATCTGTCGCCGATTTCGCCGGTTGTGGCTGAAAATGTCGCCTGGCCAAGAATTTCTCAAAACCTCCAGGTCCACAAAAACATTTTTTGTTCTGGCATGTCATGGCTGGCCCCAGGAACCGCAAAGGGCAGACATACGCACCTCGGACCTCGTGGCTCACTACGAACATATTTGAGAAGAGAAGCGTTTCTCTGTTCATCCAGCAATCCAGCAGATGAGCAACATCTAATCTTAGCTAGTTGCATGAGTGTTTTGCACACAGTTCTCAGGCCGGGGCCTGGATGCAGGAAAGCTGCTAGAACCATGCTGCCAGCCTTTCGAGGCGTCGCATCTGGCAGCGCCTAAAAGACCTAAAGCCAACGCGGTTCCGCCACGCCTCAATGTCATGACATCGTCGTTCTGGGCCCTGTCGAATCTCTGTCTTCCTTGGTCAAGGCTGACGAACCTTGAAATTAAGCCGATCCCAAGCATCGCACTGAAGTGCCGAAGCTGCTGAGACCTGTCCTGCAAGAATCTTCGGAAACCCAAACGAAACGAAGATGCAAATGTAGCAAATGCTCAAAAACGTCTCTCCTGCATTCTGGCTGCCCGCACCCTCTGCCTGAGGAGCCGGAAGAGCTCAGAAATCGCAGAGACGGAAACGGTGTCAAGACGGAGACTCTTCCTTTCTACTGACGTTTTTTTCCACTCCACTTCTGGCACTGCTGTTGCCTAAGAACAGCGAAATTGTAAACATGCAAATCGGGCCCCATCATTGGGGGGGCCCCCATCATTGGGGGGCTTGGGTTCTCCCGAGTCAAACTGCTCGCTGCGAAATTGTGAATGGAGCCCGCAGGTCTTCGGCAGGTCTGCGGATTTTGCAGAGCCCGCGCAGGGCACCCATCCACCTCCATCACTAGGTTTACGGCTTGCGGCCCCAGCACGGCAGATTGCTTCACCCAGTTCAAACATAGAAAGTTTGTGGAAGATTGTGTCTAGAACCAACCGTCTGGAAAGCTGCACTTGGCTTATGACTGGGCCTAAGGCTTGTCCGAGCCCGTAGACATGTTATCCAGCTCGATGTAGTCTTGCCTAAGTGGCTGGGGGATGGCCTGATCTTTTCCAGTGACAGTACCCAAGTTTTGACACTAACAATCAGTGTGCAGTACAACGCATGAAAAGTGCAGGTTAAATGGCAAACAATCAAAACCATGAAGCCTTTACCCTGTCTCAAAAGCTTGATACGCCTACAAAAATGTCCAGCTTCCGAATCTCAAGAACACCGAAACTTCGCGCCACGCTGCTTGGATGCGCCAGACTCGGAATCGCCGTCCTAGGCCAACCCAGTTAGTGAGTGCGAGCAGTTCTGGAAGTAATCCATGCATTGCACATCATACTACAGGGTCCGCTTCAGCAGATTACCTGCACTGCCAGGGCTCGTCCTGGGAAAACATCCCGCAAAGGGAGAAAGGCATGATCGCCTGGACACTCAAAGCAATCACGAACCGGTCTCACATTAGTCAAACAGGCTTAACGACCACGAAGAGCAAAGCCTCGTCAGAGAGGGTGAGGCTGAAGAGGCGCAGCCGCTTGTACACCTCGCAACTCACACAAATCTCTCACACGTCCCACACACTGAAAAAGCACACTGAAAGAACACGCCTGTGAATTTTTGTTCAGAAAAGACATGGAAAGGGAAAAAAGAGGCCGCTAGGCCTGCAGTGGCTGAAGTTAATTGAGGCCAGATGCAGAAATCAACTCGACGATCCTTGGGCAAGCACTTCACACCGGAAAAAAGCAGGTGTGAGGTACGTTTGGAAGAGATCAACCTGCTTGTTGAGAGTTGCTTTCCACTGTTTCCATTGTTGCTGCATCACTTCAACGTGAATACTTAGATTTGGCCGGGGGTCTGGGCCCAGTTGCGAACCAAGAACTGAAGGGAGCGCTCCACACTGCTGAACGCATTCACGAGCCTCTGCATTTGCCCGAGAGTGATGCCGCCATCTGCAATACAGGGAACTAGCGCCAGGTATGGGACAATTACCCCAAACTGCAGATAGGACCACTTGGCAAAGTCAAAGTACATGAAGTTGAAGTAGAGCTGGAAGTAGCTCTCCCGCACAGCCCCAAAAAGTCCTTCCACGACTTCTGGCTGCGCACGGTCCTCCTTATCTTCACCGAAAACTAGTTCTTTCCGGAACGCTGCCTCGACAAGCTGGTTCTGGAACTCCAGCCCTGGCAGCCGTATGCCAATTAGGGACAATCCCACGGTGCCTAGCAGGGCCCAAACAATGGTAAGAACCACCATGGCATGTGGCAGCTCCCCTATCAGGGGCAGCGAGGTCACGGGCTTGGACAGTTCAAAAAGGATGGGCAGGAAGGCTGCCAGAGTCATGAGCGACTGTAGGAGCGTGGCCCCAATGTCTTCCACCATGATGGCGAAGCGGCGGGTGTCCTAAGCAAATGCAGAGAAATTATGTGCCTGGAATCAGATGAACTCGAGTCCTCTCATGGCAGAGCAAAGCAAAGCAAACAGCTGATTTCAGGAGAGCTTCTTCCTGGACTCTCTGGCTGGCCCCCTCAATGTGGCGGAGGTCTCTCCAGCGCTTAATGTAGAAATCATTCATGGCTTGCCGCCACCGGAAGGTCCAGTGCTTGGTGAAGAAAACAGACAGGACCGCCACCACGATGTAGGTGCCCGCAATTTTGGAAAAGGTGAACAAGTAGCCATAGATTTCACTTTTTGACACATCTGACTCTTTGGACAGAGCTTTCTGTATCAAGTCGTAAAAGTCTCCAAACCAAGAATTGATCACCACGTCTAAGTGGACTTGGTACCAGGTGGTAGCACATATGAGGATCACACCAGGCCACGACCAGTACAACCATGCACCACGGCAAAAAAACTCCTTCCACATGATGGCGCGGATTGCCTTGGCAGAAGACCCAGCATCCTACCTCTTCCCTGAAGAGCCCACATGGATTGCGGCATCTTGCGCTTGACATGCTGGCATGAGTGCTCTTTGAGTTGATTTCTGACTGCTCGCAAGGCCTGAACACCTTGGCGATTGCTCTCGCATGCTCAAGCACTGCTGGAGGCCTGTGCGGCTTCTCCAGGAGGCAAGACGGGGAGCAGGTCACGGCGCCGCCAGCGTAGCAGCGTGACTTCCTGGTGATGCGAACTGACAACCCCACAGGCTATACATCCAGCAGCAGCTCCGAGTTGAGCTTACTGTTACTGCAAGCCAACCAAAAAAAGAGCAGCAGAAATTCATTAAAATTCGTAGTGAATCTGTGTATTGGATGTCTAAGGATTTCAGGTGCAAGTTCTGATGGTATGCATGTCACTTGCTTTTAGCCGCAAGCTGGGGATCGTGCCAGCTGGATCCTGGAGCGTACAAGAGAAAAGCTTGCTCTGCTTCTTTGTTGCAGACATGTCCAAACTAAAGCCTGAAGCTTGCGGCCACCATCGTGGACACCACAATGCACCGAACTGCTCAGCACTGCTGCACTTTATCTGCCAGACGTGCACATCTATGTCGCCCGCCTGAGCGCTCACCTGTTCTTCGGAGACTTGAGAGGCTACAACATGATGCTCACCCTGCCCAGGCTCTCCAAACAAGGCAGCAGCACGTCTCAGGACCGGGTCCTTCGTCCTGCAAGGTTTCTCAAGCATGAAAATCCCCTACATCCCACTTGGAGAAGGCATGTGCGGGGCTTGACACCTCCCCTTCTGCTCCTCCCTCACCTCCTCCCCCTCCTTCTCCGTCAGGGGAACTCAACCAGTCTGCATTCTACCAGCATACTGTTGTTCAAGAGGAAGATTACACGTTCCATGGTTTGTAGGTCACGTAGGGTTGGCCCAACATGTGTTCGGACACTGCACTGAAGCCGGCCATGGTGCTCCTGGTCATCGGCTCCACACAGCAACAGGCGCCTGGCATTCGCAGAAATTGCAGAACTTACACAAGCACCTCTCAAACCAGCCGCCCAGCGGCACACCGAAGATGAATCGAACTTCACAGGGAGGTGGGGCTGCATCTTGTGGGTTGGAGCTGGCTTGGCTCTCTTCTTCCATTTGGGCTCGCCAAATGTAGTGCCGGAATAGCTTCAGCATGTCGCCATTCTGGAATGGCTGTCAACGAATCAGCACGATGATATGTGTCTCACCATCGCACTAGCCGAGTGCACAGGGCAGGACAGCTGCCTGCAGGTAAACCCCTTCATTCAAAGCCAGAAAGAAAATCCAGCCAAACATGAAAACAGTGGCAGCAGCACGCCAAACAGCGCTCTTCTTCCTGCTGCCGAGATGGCATCTTGTAGGCGACTATACAGAGAACCTTGCTTGTCTATCTGCATTCGGAACAGCATGTCCTTCATGGAGAAAAGGATGTGCTCTAGCCGGGGAAACGGCAGCTCATCCTGCTGCAGAGATGTCGAGAATAGCAGGGAGATGGGTTCAGAGTTGCAGGGGCGAACATGTGGAAAAGACCAAAGGCTTGGCATAGCAGCAATTGCAACTGAAGGGACATCTGCACAAAGATTCTGGCTAAGGCTGCCCTGCTTTACCATGACGACAGTTCAATGATGCTCTGAATCGCCTCCCTTCCAAAGAGCTCTTTGGTTGGCGCTCCAGAAACAAGTCCCAAATCTTGAGGGAGCCTGCGACCATGTATCACTTAATGCCATTGCCTCTCCAAGTGTCAGCTCGCACTTGCGCAGCGAGCTCCTGTTGTACACGCGGAAATACGGCGGCATCTGCAATCAAGACAGGCGATGGCATCCAGGTTGGGCGCAAACTGCGCTTTTTGAAGGACGCATTATGAAGAAAAACTACTGCACCTGCAAATTCACACCCAGGCAGCCTTCGGGACGACTAGGACATGCAGCCAAATGTCAAGGAACAAATCAATCTAGATGTGTGGGGCGCAGGATGATCGAGAAGCGCGACATTGACATGCGATGTGATCATGTTGATAACACCCACACAGCTGCCAATATCTACCACTAGATACCTCGACAGTCTCCTCTTCTTCCCGGCATCTTCAATGACAGTGTAAGAAAAGGTGACGACCTTGACAAGAGCATTATGCCACTATGCAAACCGGCTTCTGGATTCAGCATCCTCCCGCTTTCTTGCAGATCTTGAAGCATTTGAAGCGTGACGTTTCTTCTTGGTGCTTGGCATCTCCTCGACGGGGCCTGCGAAGCTGCAGACTCTATCAATTTAAGAAGAGGTTGCATTGGAACTACCTTTTCGGAAGTTTCGAAAAGAAAGATTGAAAGCCTACAGCAACTCACAGCGAGAAAGACTGCCGCATGCCCACCTTCTGCGCGAAGACCCAGTCTGAATGATGCGCTTGGTCACGCTGCGGTCCTCCGTCAGCGACTGCACGCACTCGAAGCCCAGAAGCTCTACCCGTGCCCGGAACATTGGCGGCGAAGCTGGGCCCGTGCTGCCACTGCCGTTGGCAGCTGATTCCTGAGCCTTGCGGAACTTGAGGAGGTCAGACTTTGCCTGCTCAGCCAGCTGGTTTGGGGCGGCTGGCAGGAAGCGGAGCTTCCTCTTCACCTTGCCCGTCTTCGGAAGGACCCCTGGCTGGGTTCGCAGCTGACGGCCACAGAGCGGCGAAAGTATCAAGCTGTAGGCTGCAGGCGCTCGCACCTCCGCAACCTCCCCCACACGCATATTTTTCACAGCAAACTCAATTGCAAGTGGCAGCTTGTTGTCTCCCATCTCCACGGTGATCTCGCCGGGGACGTCTTTGATTGGTGGGGCATCCAGCTGAAGTGTGGAGAAACGGACCGTCACGATGTCGTTTTGTCCAGGCCTCTCCAGACCCTTGCCCACCTTTTTGATAACCTTCTTGACTGCCCCATCCCGACTGCAGGTGTTCTCATCTCCTTCATGGTCCTCTGGAGGCTCATCATCTGAATTCCAGGCTGGAGGCGCATCGGAGTTTATAGATTGCACGTCAGACTCGCCCGCAGCATCTTCAGCCGTCATGATCCGTCATGGGCTAGCAGCCCGCGCAGCTCGCTGCCATCCATTATGTGGATCTCCAACACCAATAATTCGAAAGTGCTCCTTAAAAAATGATACAGTTGTTTTGCATGGTGTTGCACCGGCTGCTTTCTGATGGCTCAACGTGCTGCAGCACACAGGCTTCACATGATGGACGAAACCCACCTGCGCAAGAGAATGTCTCTGACACAAGGACAGGAAACACTTCGGCGCAGATGAAGGGGGTTACCTTTCTGGCCTCTGGATTGGACAGCGTGTCCTCGCAGGCTACACTGCATGACAAATACATACTTCAAGAAATACCGGTTTGAACATGTGAGACCTACAGACAGCATGATGTCTTGTCCACATCCGAGGAAGCTCTATGTGGAGACAAGATCAACTACGAAACAGACATTTTTGTCTGGGGTCGGTACATACGCCTTCGAGATCTTTCCGAACTTCTCCGCGCCTTGCATCTTCAACGCACGGTGACTGCAATCCAAGCAGCTTGCTGCGCTTCGCTGAGCAAGAGCTGACAGGGAGCCCGGCATTCCACACAGTCTGGATTCTTGTCAGGATGGTACTTCAGCGCAAGAGCCTGCAGAGCGCAGCCCAGGTACTTCAGGATTTCTAGTTCCACTGATCTAGATGTCCCAGATTGAATGCAATCGATACATTGGTGATCCCGGTGGTAAAGGCCAGATGCCTTGTAAGCCTTCCTGATTTCCATCTGGTCAACACCTGCAAGACATTCAGACAAGGCTTTCTCAGAAGGTGTCGTGTGGGAATTATCAGGAAATTATCGGCAATGCCGAAGCATGGTTGATCAGACTACACTTGGGCAAAAACAACCGCGCTGCAGGAAAGGCCTTTGGTCAGACCCATGACTTCATAGAAATTGAACTCAGTTTCTGGATCACACTGGTCATGGTTGCTTTGATGCGCGTCAGCTTTCCAACTGTGCCGGGTTCTGAGCCCCGTGTTCATCTTGGTCTGCTGGATGGTAACCTGCAGGGTGAATGAAACATTGGAGGCGCTATGCTGGTAGGACGCGCTGAAGGTCTAGTCTGACTCAGACAAGAGTTCAAGCAGAGTTGGGGGGTCCATTGCTGGGGATCTTTACATTCTGTCTGTCCCACAAAATGTACTCATGATAGGGTTTGCCACCCCCGTTTCCCACTGGACTGCCTTCTTCGGCTGCGCGAATCGCCAGCCTTCGTGGAGCACCCTACACTGCTCGCAACCAGATGTTCACGCTGAGGAGACCACATAGCCACAATGAAGGCGACCATGATAGCTGGACCACCATATGTGTTGGCCTTCACACAAGGGTCTGGGCGAGGTCCAGGTTTATCGTGAAAGCACTCTCAAGCAAAATCTGAAACTCGGATTGACGGGTGCCTTCTCACGGATGGACTTGACTGACAAACCATCCGACCTTGAGCATTCTGACTTGCGCGTCTCTGCCAGTCTGCCAGGCTACAGAAACCTCACAAGCGGTCAGCGGCGTGAACCCTAAGCAGCACACCCGTCCTTCAAGCCTTTGCCACTACTAGGACCTGCAAGGCTGCAAGGCTCTTGCAGGCTGCTTAGTCTTCAACAGGTGTGGCTGAATTTGTCTAGATTCTGCGCCAAGAAAGTTCGAACCCAAGTATTGAACACCCGAGAAAATTGGACACTCCATTTCCTGTAAAGCTGCATGGTGCAACTACTGCCAAACTCTTGGAAAGCTGCCTGAAACCCTCCCCATGTCCAGCCTTTCTTCTTGCGGTCGGCCTCCTTGCCATTGGAGCTCTCTGAGGACTTTCCTGCCAGGCAGAGTTGCTATTGCGTTCAGCTGCACATGACATTATAACTCAGAGATTCAAATTGCCGGATCGGCCCCTGGACCAAAACTCCGAAGGTGCGGTTTTAAATCCAACCGTCCCTGAGCCCTCCTTTCAGCGCATCCAGGATAAAGCCCACAAGGATCAATCGAAGAAATCGCTCCACCTTGCCAGAGAGTTCTCATACAGATTCAGGAGGCTTGTAGCATTGTAACAACCACTGAGATGCAGAGCCTGCTGGTAGCAGTTGGCGGGTAAAACGTCGTAGAACACAAAGTAAATCACAAAAACTGATCAGCAGTTTGTGCAATTCACGTCAATTAAGGTGCTGGCTATTCTTTGCCTTGCTTCTTGCTGCCTGGAATCAACAGACCCCAGCAACGGAATTGGGTTGAAGTGTGTCCTAAATGGATGTTTCTCGTCTGCTCTTTCAGGTCGTGTCACTGCGCATGTGACATTCTGTCAATGTGCACGACGCAAGCATGCACGTACCACTGAAGCCTGCTCAAGGCAGTTTGCCACCTTTTGCCACGTACGGCAAGCATATGAAAACATCTTCTCCAGACCGCGGAAGAATTCCCAACCTCAACCTGTAATCAATTCAGTCTTGCCAGGCCTCTCCAGCTCCATTTGTGCGAAGGCATCCATCTTCTTAGCCTGCATTTCTCGTGAAAATGCAGCTGCAACCTTGTCCAGCTCCCTCCGTTTGAAAGGAAAGGTGATCAGCCTCAACAAATGCAGTGGCCAATGGCCTGCCTGCACCTTCTTTTTCGGGGCGGCCTCCTTCTTGGCCTTGCCACTGGGAGGGCCTCAGAGCAGGCAGAGACTGCAATACTGGTGCTACTTTGGGCTTTGGCATATACTTCAGTTATGCTGTCAGCGCACAGCTGCTTCACCTCCAGGCTGAAGTTTACACTGGTTCGTTCATCCATGCAGCAGCGCCATCCAAAGCAGAATACAGAGGGCGCACTTACCAAGGTCTGAGAGGCAGAGATCCGTGCAGATAACATTCCGGGCTGGATGAGTGGGAACCCTCCATCCCTGAAGACTTCAGAACAGCTTGGAGCACCGGCCATCTCGAGTGTCCTCCTGGCATGATATGAATTTGGCACACGTGCAACCATCTGCATCAGCTCCAGGCAGCAAGGAAACATCGACCTCTTCTTCGTCGTCTTCTACCGGCGGAGCCTGCAACTCATGGACGACGATGACCCAGGGCGCGAGACACAGCTGCAACAGCAGTCGTCCTTGCCAGCATCCTTCTTCTTCGCACCAGCTTTCCTGCCGCAGGACAAGGATACTGGCAAAGGGCGACCCCACAAGACGGAAAAGCTTCCAGGTGCCATGCAGCAAACAATTTCGCAACATCCAGACCGCTCACAAGCCAGAGCCCGGCGCACCCCATTCGGAGAGGCTGGGCGGCAGCCGGCGACGAATGGCAAAATGCCCGGAATGCTTACAGCAACAGCAGGGACCGGAGGTTGCACAACTCAAGCAGCCAGGGTTCCATAGGAAAAGGCTGTACTTTTTGCAGGACGCAGGACGCAGGCGCGGTCTCTTTTCTTCGCGCTGAGCAACTTGCGTGCAATCTTTCATCATAAACACATCAACTCGAGCTGTGCACTGCATACCCCCGCTGGACCAGCATTGCTGCAGGCGCAGTGAGCCACGTAGCGATCAGTCTACAACCAAATCATGTGAAAGGACAGTATTGCGAGCGTGCAATCAAACCAGTATGGGCAGGCTTGTTTTAGAAGGAACTCCAAAGAACAAACCCTCTCATGGTCAGTTCCTGCCTTCAATATACCAGTTTCTAGGGTCACTCACGCATCGTCAGCGTCCAACATGGTCAAAAGCAGGCTAAAAAGGACCAGCGCGACAGCCAAGAGTTGAGGAAAATTCGCCGGCGGCATTGAAATGGCTGCGCAGCGAGAAGATTGGAAGCAGCGCCACGAGGCAGCAGGGAACTTCACATGGCTTCTGCGGAAGGCGCAGCAGAAGATCCCACGATCTTCCAGCTCAGCACCCGAATTGGACTTCAAATCAACAAGGCATGAAGGGTTCAGGAAAGCATTGCTGGACGGTCAGAGGTCAACTGCCTTCGTTGACTTTGCAGAAGCCGGATTACGCAAAAAATGTGGCCTGACCTTTCCCGGCTCCGTTGGGAGACGAGAGGAAAGGCGTCTTCAGCTTGGGGCTGATGTTGCCAACCAAGACCAATCGTCTACACTACAACTAGCTACTTGGCCTTGCTCCTGAGGAGCAAAGCCTGATTTTGCTCGAGGCTCGAGGTCAGCTTGAAGTTTCTGCAGTGCCACCCCTGGCACAAGGGTGAAGCAAACAGGGCATGCCCGGCTGAAAATTTTGCATTACTACGACAACAAGAGTGATGTAGTGAAATGTAGTGGAGCAGGCGTTCTGGGCCTGACGTAGCTGAGGGCACCTGGGAGCCGGCGATTTCATCGGAAGCAACCCGTGCTTGCTAGCACTGAGCAAGCTGCATATGTAGCTGAAGGATGCCAGAGCCACCCAGGGCCTTGGCGCACTTCCAACTCTGAAGCCGCTCCCGTCACCAAGGTTTTAAAAGGCACTGGCACACGCATGTGGAGCGGCAACCTGAAGTGCAACAAGCCCGCAGGGCTCACAGAACAGCAGGACCGCCGAGCGCGCAGCCAAAAGTAGGTCACGTAATGCCCTGCCGAACACAAGGAAAAGTCGACGCAAGATCTCATCATTTTTCTCACAATCTGAACCCACTGACCTCAAAGGATTATGGCCTGACACGCAAAAGAATGGCCTGGAAGCCACACTAGCCAGCTCATGGTCCAGTCTTGGACGCAGTTGGCACGGTACCTGGGAAGTGCCCCTGCACAACAGCGGGAATCTCGTGGCTACATGCACCTGCTCCGACCAAAAATGGAAATCCATACATGCAATCGGGATGCCATTGAGTCATGCCAAAAGAACGACTCAAGCGACAAACAAACATGCTTAACACATTTCATCATCCTAGTGTGGACCTTCTGAGGGCCATGCTTCGTAAACGCTGCTAGCACAGCTTCGCGAGGGCTCGATGCCCTGGCTGCCTGCTTATCATCCGCTAGAACTGATGTCTTGAGAGTATCCTAGCGTAGGTATTGCTTGCAATGAACTCAAGCAGGCAAGGATTCGAATTCAGACTGCCTCTTTCATCACGTAGAAAGCAGGAAACAAGAACAGTGGGTCCGAGATGAAGTTCGTGGCCTCGGCACCGCTGTTGCCAGAACGACACCCAACCCTTCTACTGCAAAAAAGGCAGATGTTCGCTTCCTTGATGTGAGCAGTCTGTTGCGAACTGCTTGCAACACTATCGAATGTTGCACAATTGCAGAGCCGGACATGGGCAAGCAGGACGGAGAAGCATGCCGAAGGAAGCGTGCAAAACATCGCTAAGCATTACTTTAACAGGCCAAGCCACTGCCAGCTTGCAGCAGCTGGCAAACTTGCTTCTTCCCGGCCACAGGCGTTCGAAAATGACCTGTGCATTATTCTAAGAGATCTCCGGCAAAAGAACTCATCTGGCATGCCATTCTGCCTTGCCAAAAGCTACATCTAGAAGACATGCGTTCAGTCAGGCGCCGGCATTCCAAAGAAAATATTGGAAACCACCCTGTACGAGTCCTCCAAACCCCATGAACCTCAGCTGTATGATTGCCACACGAAAGCAATGAGCATGAGGGCCACTGTCGCATACTTAGAAGGTCGCAGGAAGTTCCTCTTTTGATCAAGCTTCTCTCGGCGCTCAATCAGCACCTTTGCATTCAAGCTGCAAGAAGTAAACTCATCAAACACTGCTGCCACCACCCGACCTGAACGGCGAGATCTGCAGCTGCCGCTTTGATGCTGCAAGAGAGCCTGGTGCCACCCGAAAGAAGCACACGAATCTGTGCCTTCTTGATCAATGCTTCCGGCACAGACGATGAAGCTTCTGCCCTTCTGAGTGGGCCTAGTTCCACATCAGTACAAGTTCTGTAGCATGCGCCGAGCGGCACAGCGGTTAGCACCGGCCACCGGGCGACCACGGCACCAAGGCGCTGCAAAAAGGTTTGCACCTGCATCTTCAACTTTCAAGCCTTGGAGCTTTAGATACCAAATTTTGCGTGGAAAGGCTTCAGACCAGCCATGCTCGCTCCAGGAAGGAGGGAGACATGGAAGTGGGGATCCAAGCGGCCTACATACACCTCTTCATGTCTAGCACTCAGTAGGTCGAGGCCCTTACGACCCACATGCCTTGCTGCAGCTGTTCCTACTTCAGTGTCGAGGTTTTCCTCTCCACTCCAGTCCCTTCTCAACTTCAATCACGCAATGAGCACAAACAAGACGGGCTTCTTCAAGCCTGCACCCAAGCCTGAGACTTAAGCAGTAGACCTTGCTAACCACACTCCATGTGCCCGCGCTCACCGCCTGTGCCTGTCCACCACGTATGAAGGTCAGCTGAAAGGCTTCGGTTGCCGGAACCTGCCAGCATGAGAGAAATCGAAGACATAATTGGCCAGGCCTGGAAGCTTGCTACGTAGTTGGAACTTGGCATCCAGGGTTGCGAAGTGCTCTGCAATTCGACCAGACAACGTGATTGTGCTTGTATTGCGCTTTTAATCGCTTAGCTGGCTGTTGGCAACGCGCAGTTGCAGCTTTCAATGGCCTCAGTGCTACTTCACACTGACCTCATACGGAGGGCAAGATGTCGACAGAACATCAGCGACAGGTCCAAGTTCACTGCCAAAGACAAAAGGGCAAATGATAGCTTTGCAAAAGAGGTTTGAGCGAGGATGGCGGACAAAAAATTACCGCCAACGTGAGCAAATGGCAAAAGCCTCACCCACGCACACGCGCTGCCACCATGACATGATCGGAACATTGTACATACCAAGGCCTCTGCCGATGTCACAAGCGGACGATGACCAATGCCCGCTGGGCGGAAAGGCACACAGCGACGGCCTGCACCCAGCAAACAGTTCTTCAGTCAGACGAAATGCGGGCCATGCTGGATGGCCGTAAGCTGTCCCTCAACCCTTGCAGTCGCACCATGTCATCACCATTTCTTGAATGTTCGAAGCTGGCGAAATGGCTTGGAAAAGTACTCCAACGGCGCCGAAAGCAAGCTTCAGTTTCTGTCAGACAGCCATTAAACATCTGGAACGAGCCTTGCGTTTGTGTCGTCAGCCTCCGGCGTTGATCAGCGCTTGACCTAGGCACACGTGTCCTGACTCTTCAACCCTGTAAGCCATTATCGGCGCCGAAGAAAGCGCTGGGTACCTTGGAGCTGATTCCTGGAAAGTTGGCAAATTGAGAAATGCAAATTGAGAAATGCTGTTGGACGTCGGCAGTAGCCAAGCCAACTGCCGATTTGCAATTTCAGACCATCGGCGGCCAACCTCCCGGGGATGAATGCTTTTGGAAACTGTATGATTATTAACTTATGTGACATGACGCAATCACTGCTGAGACTGGCCGCGTACGTCTGTGCGCAGGTTGCCACATTCCGATTATTCGTGCAATGATACAGTACAGAAGACGGTTGAGTGACCGGCCTGGAATCGAGCGACATGAACTCCGCGCAACCGACTGAAGGGAACCTTCGCAAAACGCAGCGCACGTCAAATACATGGACTAAAAAGACAGATCTCCTCAAACAGCTGGCATGATATCACTTATGTATCAGGAATGCTGCGCACTGAAACGTCCCGCGAGCAAATGTCGGGCTACTCCCCTCACATGAACGCTACGGAACTCCACTGATCAGTGAGGAAAGGAGAGCAAGAAAGTGCGAACGCTTTTTTTCCTGCTCAGGCGTGGGGACAGCAGGCTTCGAAATGCAGACCTAGTCAAAATCTCTGCGCTTCTCGAAATGGCAGCTGCCCTCCCGGCAGAACTGCTGGCGAGCTGCCACAAAATGTCTCAGATCCAAAGCAGACCTTGAAACAGAGCAGGTCCCAAACCTTTCCGACCAGGATACTTAAGCGTCTGCCAGCCGACCGATTCCCTGATCGAGAGCCGGCCCGCAGGATTTAAATCCGACGAAATGCGATCGATGAAGAAATTGATCTTGCGCTCAAGAGCAAGACCCCAAATTATCTCAATGATCAGGCAAAGATCCTGCTTCGAGGAATAGCCTTTGACCAAAGAGGCTTCAACTGCTTCAGAGTCAATTAACCAGAAGCACATCTTTGCCTCTCAGGCGCTTCTTGAACGTCTCGATCGAGAGCACCGTAGCGATCATCCCATGGGGACGATCTGAGTCTTCCTCCGAAGCCAACGTTTCGAGATGTCCTTGTCGATGATCTCGGAGAACTGGAAGGGGGGATTCGCAGTGCGATCGAACATGAACGCCCCGACCTTGTCCTCACCCTTCTCTGACTTCCTTGATTCCGGAGTGAACCCATCTGTGAAGATGACCACGTTGCACTTCTTCTCGCACCTGAGGGAGATCTCCCTCGGTGGCCCTGACAGGATCAGCTTGTTCCACTGCTGGAGCGAGCGAACCAGCTGCGGGGGTGAGGGACATGCGATCCGCATCTGTACTGTCTTTCAGAAAAAGGCCTGAAGAAGGCTCGGCCTACGTTCCCCCATGATTGTGGCTCGACCCAAACATGAGCTTGCCCTTGAGCTTGCCCGCCGAGCCCGGGCCCAGCGTGCCCGACAGGCGGTCGTATCGGTGAGCTCCTCCTTCCGGCTCTTCTTGATCTCGAGCACCATCTCATCGAGGTTGTCGGTGACCCCCAGGATGACCTCTCCTCAAACTGAGCTCCCAGAGTGTGATGGCTCCCTTGGGCAACTTCTTTCGCCGACGGAGCCGTCTCGGCTGTTTCGAACCTGTACTTGTCATCGTAGAAGTTGAAGGCGACCATCGAAAAGATCTCCTCGAAGATGTCGTTGATGGGCGCTGACCTCCGATCATAGTTGTACACCGCCGAGACGAGGCCGACAGATCACACTAAAACGACGGTGCGCGACCTGAATCGGGATCTGTCTGTAGGCGCCGAGCAGCCTTCCTCTCCCCGATCGGGTGAGGAGCTCACGAAGAACCGCCACATTGATGTCTGTAGACGGCAGCTGTAACTTGTCGGTGATCACCGCCGTCTTGTTGATAAGGTTAGAAGTCGCACTGTCGCATCCTCTGACTTGTGCTTCTGGACCACTTCGAACCTTTGGGCTGGGATCCACTCTACTACGGCTGAGGCCTGATCCGCTTTCGAAAAAGGTCCGGTCGTGTGACCCCCTTGACGTCGTCGATCGTAGACTGCCAAAGCGACCTGAGGTTATCATTGACCGGAACAGAAGAGCATCTACGAAAAATCTTTGTACGGAACTCCCAGGCCCTCGCGACCGCATCTTCAACTGGCACTGTCTCCTGGTCTTTTTGGAACGGAGGCCATCGGTTGGATCGCTCGATATCCCCAACAATGGAAAAGCCCGACCTCAACCAAGTTCGTGCCCACGCACTTGGCCGCATCGAGCAACTCCTTGTAGAGCTCAACGTGACAAGTGCATCCAAGCTGCGGCGGCTGACCGTCAGGAACTCCACGCAGAAGGCGGCGAAGATGCGGATCCAGCTCTTGGCGCAGAATTGGATCTGTCAAAGGCAAGAGCTGAACTGCTCTCTGTGTCCAGCACGCGTTGGAGGAGCTTCTTGCGATCCGCAACCACAGAACTGGGTGAAAGTACTTGGAGGCCCATGGGACTTAGTAACCACTTAGAACTGGGCTTAAAGGGGCCACCCCAGTTATAAGTAGGGTTAGAACCCCAGTATATAAGTATTTACTAAATCCCATGGGCCTCCAAGTAGGATCTTGCGAATGTTTGCCAGCGCGCGGGCGCTGAGGTCAGGTTATACCGTGAAGGGGCGCACGACCTGAAGCGCCCATTGTATCGCAAGACCTGGCTCAGATTCTGTGAGCAGCAAGGGTTTCAGAGCTCCCCTTTTCAGCTGATGGCCTGCTGCTGCGGCCAAGCGAGCTGCTTGATGTTGTCGATGTTCTTGCCAATGTCGAACGTAGCCAACTGGTCGTTTACGAACGGCATCAGGACCTTGCAACTGAAAGTCTGAAAGGACTCAGCGTTCTGCGGGAGGTTGCCTTTGACCACGGCGAAAACAGCCTTGCAAAGTCGAGGGGGGTAGACTTGAGCGAGCTTCGTCGCAAAGACCTTTCGACCACGAGCATCCCGAACGAGACCTTTGAGGGGGGCGTGAGCATGGTCACCTCGGCAAGATCTGGCCCACCGCTTGAACAAGGCGTGGCTCGCCAAAAATCGAGTCGCTTTCATTGAGGCTGCCCCGTATTCGCATTGACCCATGTCGACCTCGTAGAGATGCAGGGCCTTGGCGAGCGCCACGACCCAAGGCACTTTCCACATCAGGCTCGAGAGAGGATTTTCGAGTGAAGCATCGCCGCCAGCCTGGACCACGGCAGCAAACAGCAGGACGCGCCAAGAACTCGTTGCCCAGCCACAGATGCCACCAGAGCGCGCCCATGATGTCTGGCAAGCCCAATGGAAGCTCTGAGGAGCGCCGTCCAGGTGGTCTATTGGGTCGGGCGCGAGCAATGCTGCACGCGCCGCACGGGGTGCCCAGGTGAAGAAAGTGATCTGAACGAGGAGGACAAAGTCGAACAGGTTGGCGGCTCGAGCGAAAGTTCGATCATCTCTGGCTGCGTCCAGATTGGGGTCTGCCACGTGACCATGCTCTGAGGCATCCGAGCCGCCCTCCACGACCGTGGTGTTGATGGTGCCGAACACGCGCTGCTCCATTTCCATCTTGTTGTGGTTCTGGACCGCCACGGTCGAGCTGGAAGCCTGATCCATGATGGCGATCCCTGCCTCCTGAGCTGCCGAAAACCATACCTCCATGGAGAGAGCTGGCGGTCCTCGAGGAACTTGACGTCCCACAGCGTCTTCGTGGGACATGGCATCAAGCGCCGCCACAGGCACCACGCCTGGCTCCCGCACGAAGAGCTTGCTCTCCGCTTCCTCGAGCGAGGCCGCCAACCCAGGAGATCGAGACTCCGGCTGCGAGCTGAGCAAATTGCTTCAACTCTCACCCGGCCGATCCTCTGGATGAGGGTCGGCCCACTGATGTGGGATACCACGAGCCAGGTGGAGGGAACTGAGGTCCTGGCACATTTCACATCAATCCTGTTATTGGCATCGGGATAGCGAAATTCCACTCTGTCCGCATCATTGCCGATCGCATCCAGAGAAGCGCGATCGCAGACACGGAGCTCGAACCTCGAGCGAGCCGAATCTCCAGCAACGACAGTGCCTTTCGGACCAACGCTGTACATCTGACCTCCGCACTCGAAGGAGAAAATGGAGACGCGCCAGCCTGAAAAGGCGGCCACGACCACAGAGAGCGAACTCGCCCTTTGCAAACGTCACGAATGAAGAACTCATCCGCGAACTGCTGCTGGACCGAGAGGTCGGTGTCCGCCCTGAACCCGCGGAAAATCCAGTGGAACAAGATCTCGTTCCCAATGTAGATCTTCACGTCGGTGTAGCTCGGGGAGCTGTCCCGAAGAACTGGCCAGCTGAAGGGCTGAAAAGCCTCGTGAGCGAGCATTCTTGCTGTCTCAGTGTCCCAGCCTCTACGCGGAACTCCTGTGTTGGAGTCCACCGAGATGGCAATCGCAGCCTTGAGACCATCGAGTGTGTAGTTCGCAAAAAGCGACAAATGGTAGCCCGATGTAGGTGGCATAACGTGATCACGTTCGGTGAGGACATTGATGGAACTTGCGGAGTTGGTCATAATCTCTTTGACCAACCACGCCTGAAAAGGCGACACCATGCGAGCGTTACGGGTGTCCAACGTAATGATGGAGGACCAGCGAGCATCGCCTTCACAAGTCATGACCGATTCCAGCCAGTTTGGCAGCTTGACCTCGTAAGGGTCATGAGCTGGCTGGGGTTGCGGAAAAGAGCCACGACCTCTGCGACGATAGCCGCCATAGCCAGAGCCACCATAGCCAGATCCATTTCCCCACTGATCTTGTCCATCTCCGCCCCAGGACATGATCTCGCCCAGGCCCTATCAAGAACGGAGAAAAACAGATCAATAAATGCCAAGCGATCGCTCGGCATCACAATGGCCACGGAGATGCACATGTTTGATCAAGCACATGCATAGCTGAGCAACAGAACTGTTGACATGTGCATCACGGAACAATGAACATCATGCAAACTGATCTCGTATAGGGAAGTGACCCTCCTACCCTGACCTACCAAACCGTTGTAGGAGATCGCATGTGATTCTGCACCCCCTCACGGGCCTTACACGCACCTGCGCCCGCAAACATATCAGATCTGTGATCACAATGACTTTCCTTGCGTGCTGCTCTTCTAGTTGCTGATCACGTGGCTCCACAAATGACACTTTGTCTTGCTCTGTGATAGACCTTGAGCAAAAACGCTGCATTTTGATCTGAAAGCTTCTTGCGCCTGAGTAAAAAGCCTTAGAATCACGCCTAGCTTGCATGAATTGCCACCTGCATTCTTTTTGTCTTTTTGGATCTGCCTTGCACACGTTCTCCAGAAACCACATTAACAACCCACCAAGGTGACGAAAAAATGCAAGTCAAAACGAGTTGGATGCTATTTGCTTCACAGCTTCATGGCTGTCATGGCTTTTGCATCTTCTGCTGTCGTTGAACTTTGGCTATTTCGAAGCTCAGCTTGCACTTCACTCTGGAGTGACGTCTCCGACAGTGCCTTAGCAGGAATTCTCTGCTCATGCATGCAAGCACTACTGTTCTTTGCTCACACAACACAACGGCAAGATCCTGGTTTCCAATAAGCAGACAACATAATATACAAGCACCCCAATTGAAACTACTTTGCAAGTTGCAGGGCCCAGTTCAATCAACTGGTCAGGTTAGCTTCCCAAGTATCAAATCCACCATTCTCTCCGAACATGCAACTTCTCCCAGAAGCATGAAGCCATGTTCATGCAGAAATGCAAGACGAGAAGAGCCCGAGAAGTTGTGGAACATAATCGTGTCTTTCAAGTTGTATGTGCGCAAAAACATCCGTCTGGCAGTGTGAGAAACTCATATTTCCACAGGAAATCGCGGACTTTTTCGAAACGTGCAATTGCTCTCGTCTCACTTGAACGAAGCTTTGCTTCGAAGTGCTTGGCCACCCAAAGATGGTCATCTGAAATAGTGAAAACCAAATGGCCTCTGCACCTAGATAGGTTTACCGTACCATCCCAAGGAAGCTGCGATCAACTGCGGCACGAATGCCAAGGTGAGGAGTTGAAACACTCGCACCCAAGCCATGGGTAGCACAAGCTCACCAATAAAAATGGGAAACACAATCATTAAAAATGACACTAAGGTGCCTCCTATCACCGTGATGATCTGCGTCACGTACGGAAAACAAATAGCGCAAAACGCAGGAACCATCACAAGAACTACGCTAAGGAGCCCCTGGTACTCAACCGATCTGTCATGAGCCTGCTTGCTGCAGTTGTGCTTTATCAGGCTCAGCACCGACTCCCGGACGGGGTATACGTTCAGCGGGATTGCCACAAAGAGTGAGATTGATAGAAAGAAGCGCACCGCCATGAAGAGAGGGTCGCTGGGGGAATAGAGCATCATGATCGTTGGAACACTTCGTAGTTTCTGACCAAATGTCTCATAACCAAAGTATGCCAGCGAGGTATAAGCCACCAGCAGCACTGTAGTTGACGTAAACACGACTAAGCAGCAGCGGAACTGTGATGGATCTCGCAGCTCGCGGGCAACTGTGACACAGTTGGTGTGCCACATGTATGAGAAGACCTGAGAGCCGTGTAGCGTTAGCTACTGTCTTGGCGGTCTTAGATCTCTCCTAGCATCTGCTGACTATCGTTGTCCATGTACAAGCTTCCTGCGAATCTAAGCCGGAGACTGCAATGCACATCCTTAGATGAGGCAAGCTCACGCCTGCTTCCCGATTCTTTGGCTGCATGGCTCAAGGGTAGAATCCGCTCAAGACCGCTGTTGATGCCAAGAATCACTGCTGGAGTGGTCCTCAAGTCGGGTTCAAGGGAAAAATCTGGTCGTGCCATATGTGCGTCAGGATGCAGCCATCGGTAGCAAACTCCAAACCTTGGCTCGGGCGCTTTTGGCATCCAATCTGTGCAGCCTTTCACTTTTCTGGAACAGCTTTGCGTCTGGGGAGCATCATGAAAAGCAGGACTGCGGGGCTGATGCTTGCCACCCTGACACCAGACAGCATCTTTGCCAGAAACATTAGCGTGCAATGTGCAATCTGCAGCACATGCCCATGGCCCACTCCGAGTAAATGAGCTCATGCATTTCACAAACATGGCAGCTTGTAAAGAAACATAGTGAACCAAATGTTTGAGGCAAAATATGTTCAATGGAGACCTGGTAATCCATCTCTTGCCTGGCAAGCTTTCCAATCGACTCCAGCTGAGCCAGCTTTGTTGCTGGCACTGAGAGGACAAGGATGGTGAGGTCTGGAGGCACGTCCGAGAGGTAGGGAAGCTTTGCCAGAAACTCGGAGATGAACAAAAAGTACACTGTCAAAGCCAGCTGCTGGTGCACGAGCAGAACGAGGTCCAACAGACTCATGAATTTTGGAGGAAGCACCATGGCCAGAAGGTCCCCGTAGGAGGGACCCAGGAGTGGAGTTGAGCGCGCAGCCCGGGCACCCTCTCTGCTCTTCCGGTCTTTGTAGTCATAGAATGAGGTGCTCCGCTTCCGCTCCATCAGAGCCCCTGGAGCAGGTGACGGGAGAAGAGCATGCGGATCCGGCCCCGTGCCCAGTGCCTGGCTCCCATTCATCCAAAGAAAAAGCAAAGACCGACACTTCCTGTACGAGACCCAGTTACCCAATACGCAGACCAACTCCTGCTTGCCTGGGGTGAGACGAGGCCATGCAGAGGCGAAGAGCCGCTGAGGAGCCGCGAGGAGATCGACATGACTAGGTCGGGCTGGCTCCTCATTTGGACATCATGCTTGGCACTTGGGAATCGAAAAACCTCGGTTACAGGAATAGCGTTGCAACCTCTAGATTTCTGCGCGCACAAGCACGCTGGTTGCAGTGTATATCAAAGGCAGGGATTCAAACTCTGGAACGAAACCAACCTTAATGCATAGCATGTAGAAAGGACATGAACCTGGCATTATCATGGACGCAGAACTTACTGATGGGGGGCTACTACAGGCATGGGAACGAGTACAGATCGGGGCATTGAACTAAATTCATATACAGACAGAGATGGGTATGGAATCAAAGGGCCTGGATCGGGGACTTATGGCCACCTAGCTGGCCTGCATGCAGTCTTTCTGTTGACAAGAAACCTGGATTCCGCCACCGCACTAAACAGAATCAAGGTAGTTCCAGAAGATATTGCCCAGCCGATCACGAACAGAAGTACCATCATTTCTGGTCCCACAGCTGCCATAGCTCGTGGAAGCCTGCAAGGACTTCGACTCATAAGCGAGAAACGTTTTGCTGAACAGCACGAAGAACACGCGACAGAACTATCTAACTATGTCTGAGTATTATCTTGCTAAACGGTATGAAACTAGATTGCGTATGTATGTCCCAACCACCACTATTTGGCCAAACATGTGTTGATGGCTGCCCTGAGCTCATCCTGGAACTAGCCCAATGCAAAATCCTACTCCTGCAATGTTTCTTTGCAGGCTTTGCCTTTTTGTGGGTGCCTCTTACAGTCAGACTGGCTAGAGTGCGTTTGACTGATGGCGAGGTCAGAGCGAGCTGGGCAAGAGATGGACCCGCATCAGACTCCTAGCAGTTGCGAATTGCGATCAGAAACTTGTGAAACATGAGCCAACTTCCAAGTTCGGTGATTCGGCCCAAGCTATTATAACTTGTAAGGCCAGTCTATGACTGACTGCGGCGTGGGTGCTGTGAACTTCCACCCCAACTCCATTTACAGCATGTGCTTGTCTTTTCGTGGTAATGCCCCTGGTGCTCTGGTAGCCTGCAATACGACACATTCACATGGTCCACGTGTCTCCCTCCAATGTGCTTGTCCTGAACACATCATTCCTCCTTTTCCTAACTTTTCCTCATCCTGAAAGATTCATATGCAGCTTTGCAGCTTCTTTTTTCCCGCACCTGGCTCATTTTCTGTTTTGTCAACCCGTATCCCTGATCACCACAAGTACTTGGCATGGCATACCGGCAAGCAACACCATGACACCAGAGCCAATGCCAGCAGCGAGCAGCAGCATGATCGACTCAAAAGCCGATCTCGTGCTGCCTGGGTCAGCAGGCAATGACCCTGCCATGGCTGGTGGCGATAGAGGAGCCGCTTCTTTGTACCTGCTTCTCAACAGTCTTGAAACTGCGCTGACCGCAAGGCTGCCAGGCTGCCGTTTGTGAACCTACTTCGTTGCATGCGCATGATGTTGATGCTGTTTATGATTGTCTCAGAATGCACTTCCCTGCCTCAGATGATGCCACGTCCAGGCAACCCAATGATCTGTACGATGAGCAGAATGCTTTGAGCCACGCAGCAATGTTTTTGCCGGCTGCTAAAGTCATAGAAACGTCGCATGGTACTTTGGAATTGTTCAGCGCTGGTTGGTATTGCTGCCAGATTCCTTTACGGCAAATGGGTTGAGCCCCGCTCTCTTGCCACCTTCCTCGCCCTTCTCCACAGTTTTCTTGAGGCCGATCGCCAACTTTGTAGGCACCTCAAGAACACGGCAGGTAGGCCGAGTGCGGCCTCATCATATTGCATCGAGATCCCTGCCTGACGGACGCCAATTGCAAGCTTGGTGGTAACTTGCTTGATGGAGCCCGCAATCTGACCGATAAGCTCTGTTTTCGTGGGAAAGTCCTGCAACATGCATCATGTGAATGGCTTGTAGCTCATACTGTAAAAACGGTGCAAAGCAGTGCAAGGCAGTGCAAGGAAGCAAGGCGTCCTTCAGCTTGACGACATCTGCAGGCTCCATGATGTCCCTGGCAAGGCCAAGACTGAACAGATGCCTTTTCCGCAACAAGCTCAAAATTGCCAGCGAGGCCACTCTTCACTCATCATGCCGCCGACCAAGGGCTGGAGGTCGTAGGTCAGGCGCTGCCAGGGCTCTATGTCTTCCTCTTCTTCTCTTCTTCCTATTCTTCTTCTTTTTTCTTCTTCTGCTACGCGCTGCAGTGCAGGGCTCTATAGCCCTGCCAGGCTATGCCCCAAGCCCTTGGTCAGAAAAGCAGGACCAGAGTACTCACACAAAAGGAAGCCACTGGTGTCAAGTCAGAAGCAATTTGCCACGCCTTCCTACTAGTGGCTCCCTGTTAAACCTGCTCCCATCTCCTCCCTACTCAACCTGGTGTGTTAAATTTACACGCGTTCCATACTCCTTGAATGTTTCCGCGCAAATCAGAAGTGAGCACTACCGCCTTACCTTCTTTACCCCCCCAACGGAACCCCCCATCACCGGAACCCCCATGGGTTGCGAGAACTCTTGGAGCTCCTGCTGCCTTGCCTTTTTACCGCAGGACCAGCAGCTTGGCACTGGATCCCTCTATGAACAGCACACCCTGGTTGTTCATCACGACTCTATCTTCTTCTTTTGATTGGTCTTATTGCTCTTCTGTGTGATGTTTTTTTGTTACAACGCCGTCGACACTTTTCGTGTATAGCATATACCTCGGGGTCCATTTTAGCCCAGTCAGCCAACTAGTTCTACCCCGTCAGTACATCTCAGCCATCATGTAGTTACTCTTAATGATTTCACAGGTCCACGCTGATCATCATGGCGGTGCTTACCCTCCGTCAGAGCAACTTGTTCGGGCTCTTCGGGTTCCTGAGGTTCATGGGGACCTTCGTTTCCACCACACCGAGAACGGTTTAAAGTTCAGGGTTTAGGGTTCTGGGGCTTCTGGGCTGCCAAGGCTATCTTCTTCTTCTCCATTCTGCATGCAGTCCCCGAGGGTCGCACTGGAGCACCCTTGACAGAGGCCTTTGATGCCCACAGACAAGGAAGGGTTAGCAGCTGTTGACCCTGAGACTTAAATGCCCTTTCTACAAGCTCCTGTGCTCGATAACTGACGATCCCTTGGACCAAGGTCAGCATTCTGCCACCACGTCTCAAATCCAACAAGGACTGCTTGGAGAAAGAAACTTGCAGACATTGACAACCCTGAAAAGTCCTATTCCGCAAAGACAGTGGAAATAGAAAGAGTTTTGCATGTCTCGTCTCTCTCCGCTTCATTGTGCACCACCACAGCCCAAATTCTTCTTCTTCTGGCGGCGCAAGAGGGCCCTACTCAGCTTTCTTTCTTTCATGCGGACGATGAGGCTACTTCCACGCACCAGTTGCTGCGCGTACATCTCCACAGCCGGGCCATTGTTTTGCTGCTTTGCTTTTGGTGATCAGGGCAAGCCGCCAGGCGCGCCTGCGCCCCCCCCCCCGCATGGTATCCGTTTTGAGCCGGCAATCCGTGAAACCAGGAGTAAGCTGAGGACATCGAGCAGAAATGAATGTCCTCAGCTCCACTCTTCTCAGTTGACCCTTTCATCAACAGTTGGGGAAACTTGGAATGCGGTATGGCTGTGAAGACAAGGAACAAGCAGAAATGGAAAATTCAAACTGCCAGGTTAGGTATGATCGGAGCGACATAGGATTCCAGTTTTCATGCGCCCCAAACACGGCTGCATTATGCTTGAAGGGTTTTCATGTCCCCATCTACTGTCTATCGGGATTTGGCCCAGAGCCTGGAGATCAGAGAAAAAAAACAGAAAGCGATGGTGGAGCGAAATCTGGTGATCAGTATGTTGTCGGCAGGGCGCTCATCATCCCCGGTTCTCATCTTTGTGGATATGGTACATGACGCATGACAGCTACAGGTGTCTGTCTCACACTCTCTTGTGTTGTGGTTGCCCAAACCTCTGCACATGCAAAACAGACTATGGCGAATGGATGGAGGTGCTTGCATTTCTGACCGGCAGAATGAGCTTCTCCTCTGCTCCAAGTAGCTTTATGAAAATCTTTCTTTCATGCGGGCGTTATGAAACTCTCGCTCTCTCTCTCTCTCAGAATTCCGCTCCTGTCTTGCCGTCTGATGCTGATGACTGCGGGTGCAAAGTCATTCCCATCAGGATCTTTGCTGACTTCAACGTCCGGTTGCTTCTTGCACAATTATCCCGGCTGACCAGCAACTTACAGCAAATTCAACTAACACCGTTATCTGCACATTTCATAGCCAGGTCATCAAGTCAAGTGCAATGCCGACAGCTTTATTCTAGAGGTGTCAACGGCAGACATTGAATTCTCGAGGTGGCCACCTCCACCCATTCTTCTCTAAGAACATCGAGCTTGGCCTGAGCTGTGGCGTGGTTGTGGTGCTCAACAGGTTATGGCTTATGTGTTCATGCCGGCCAACAGGAGAGAAGTGGATCAAAGTCAGGCTCATTCATTCCATACCTGCAGGCAAGGGGCAGTCCGGTTGAACTGCTTCTCAATTTTCATGTAGGCCTCCAGCCATAGTTTCTTGCCAGGCCGGTGCCCCCCCTCCCCAAAAGATATCTGAAGATGCTCCTCACCCTCCCAGTCTCAAGGCTAGAGGCATCAACAACGGATTGTACAGGTGGATCCCGAAAGGCAAGATCCCTATCTTGAAAACCAGAAGGTCGGCTTTACAGTGTTTTGGAAAAATGGAGTCTATCCTGCCTGGATCGAAGGCTTCAGGTCCTTGTCGCTCTCCACGAAGACATATCTGGAGAAAGCATAGACTGAAAACATCTTGTTCGTCAAAAGAATGCATTGAAAACCCAAGTACAATCTTTCAAAGCTTCCACTGCAGAAAAGACTTGACATTGCGTCCAAAAAGCATGTTGTTGCCCTTGATCTTATCCCTCATTGGCTCCCAGTCTGTCCCCTCCATGGCTTTCCTGGCAGGATATGCAGCGGGCAAACACGCAGGGTAAAGGGTGCTACAGAGAATGCTGCAGTAGCATAATACAAATTTTAGCAAAACAATACGCCGATAAGCGGGCGGGAGCACTTTAGCCAGGTATTCTTGAGGTGCCGCACGTTCACAGTGGGCGGGAAGAAGCTTCGCGCCTCCTTGCCAGGCGTCTGATACATGCATTCATCTGCACTGCTGTTGGGTTCGGCATGGCTTATTCGGAGTATTGCCGGGATGGCAATACTCGCCCATCAAATGCAGAAATTCGCGCAAGTCAAAGCTGCAAGCTGCTTCAGGGTGCTCTTGAGATTGACACTGGCAGGCAAAGGCACACTTAACCGCGACTAATCCGCCGAGGCCCCCGGCCTCTGGCGTTTAGAAGGAGCTGTGCTGGAGTTTCTGTTTCCTGTGCTCTGAACCCCCACCCTTCCCCGACGCCCCCCCCACCCGCCCCAGGATCACGTAATTGCCATACGAAGGCCTAGACCCCAAGTATTGCACGCGGCTATTTAGGGACATTGTATTTAGCAGGTCATTCAAGACTCTACCCACCCCCCCCCTTTGCAAAAGGAACGCTACAGGTGCAACTTGGTGGAAAGTATGGGGGCCAAAGTCAGGTTCGCCAGAATCAGGTAATTGACGGCTTTGAGAAATTTAGGGCCCGGCGGCCCTCCCCCAACCCAGCCCCTCCCTCCTCCCCAAAGATTTTCCGCGTCACCCCCCCCCCTCCTTAGCTGGAGGATCCTGTAATTTTCATACGAATGTTTAGGGAGATTTTACAAGGCCATTCAGGTATTGCACAGGGTCTCTTGGGATATTGTATTTTAGAAGGTCATACAGGGCTCTGTAAGGGCTAAGATTATGTAGGGATACTATATAAGGTGATCCAAGAAAATGATGGCTTAAGGAAGGGACAAGTTGATTTGAGGTTGTCTTGTTCCAGGCTGCTATACATGCGAGCCGGGCGAGGCGGCGTGCGTTAGCATCAATATTAGAACATCTGATGTCCTCCAGCTCGTTGGGTTCCATCTTTTCTTTGTTGAAGGCCATGAACTTAGCGTTTGACTCACAAGCCCAGCAGCCGAGAGCATGTGTCAACAACAATGTGACAAGACAAGATTTGACAACCATCCAAACATCTTTCTCTGAGACGGCGACAAAGAAAGTCTTCTCCAGCTGGCGTGCAATGCCCTGTGCAGCCAGCAATGGTCTGGGGAGAGGACTTTGTATAAAGTACCAGCACATTTCTGGCTCGGGCATATTAGTAGCGGGTGAACGGCTGTATGAGCTATTACAAAGGCAGCTATAGCGGAAGCACCAGCTGCACCTGAATCTGGTGGTTCCTGCGGGCTTTTCCAGTCGTAATCTTCCTCAGTGCACGAGTCCGAGACATATGCAAAGCTCATGCAGGCCTCTGGCGCAAGCCTTTGGTGTACTCAGAGCTTAGATCCTGACGTCCATTTGTCGGGGACATCATCTATCCTCAGCTTTGTGCCCATCGGTCAAATAAACAGCTGGTCGCCGCCAGTGAAATCCCAAGGTGCACATCCCCAGTTCAGATAAATTAGCCCACTTGCGAGCAAAGGGGCGTGAGGGTCTCGATGTCCTCCATGGTCACATGCCTGGTCAGGCAAGCATCCCTAAATTCTTCAGGCAGTCCCGAAGCCATCCCAGCCTCGTGACCTGGCTTCTGCGCCGGCTGCGGAAGGCGGCTCCTACGAGCAGCCCGCCGAGAAGTAGCGACCTGATAGCTACGCTGGCAACAGCTGAAGTGAGGAGCTGAGTTGCTCAGGTGGTCGTGTCCGTCGCTTAGTCTCAAACAGCTGCTGGACTTTTCCTACTGATTTTGCGCCGCTGTACAGATTCAGGCGTGTGAGGTTTGTTCGGGCCACATCGCGGGAGCTGACTGTTTCAATGATCGAGTTTTCGCAGCATTGTTTAGCATTCCCAGCAATGGCTCGCCAGCAACAGAATTCGTGATTTACGCTGCATACCGCTGCCATCTCCCGCAGGTGACAAGCCCTTCAAAATCTGGGCTTGGCGGCGCCGCCCTTCGTCCGTTCACTATCACTACAAGCGCGACGGCTTGTGCGGCGGGACCATCCACGAGGAGTCCGAGCTGGCCTGTCATAGGATGGCGACAAATGGCCGAACAGTATTCCAACACAACTGTTAGATGAAAACTGTTGTTGGAGAACACCCCATGTGACACCCCACAGTAGACAGTTACCTGAAATATCCTGCATCGCCCTTGTTTGCCTGCTGTGGTCTCGACAGCTGCTGCAAAGCTGCAAGGAGCTCCTGCAAGTGTAGGGTTGTTTGACCAGCACTTGACCAAGTCAGGGAAGTCAAATCCCTCGAGAATGGCAGGATTGGATAAGTCAGAAAAGGCGACATTCGTGGTTCACGGCCTGCGCGCCCGTTGAATCCATCGTATCTGGGAATGTAACCTGGCACTTTGGATGTCAGGGAAGGTTCACATACCATCCTCGCGAGGAAAAAATGCCACATATCCATGTCCTGTACAGAGCAACGATGAAACGAAACCTTCCTCCTAGCTTCCTAGCGCTGGTCCTAGCTTAAGATAAATCTCAGATTTGTGTTTCGACCGCTGTAAACCTGCAAAAGACCCTCTGAGAACCCCTCGAGCCAGAGAAACGGGCCTCAAAGTGAACATGCAAATCACCTCGCTCCCAGGATCCGGCCTAGCGCTGGGTGGAAGGTGTGTGCATGTGCGGTACCGCATGCTCAAACAAGCTAGACAATTCTCTCATTTCTCTCTTGCAATATCGCCTGCGGCGCAACAGCGCAGGAATCTGTGCTTGGAATGAAAGTATGCAGATTCCTTTCAAGATCAAAAGGTCTTCCAGCTTTTCGTGAGCATAAAGTTGTTGCATGCAGAGCCTGGCCTGGAATAGTACTGGATTGACAAAGCTGTGTCTGAATCACAGGCCCCGTAGGTGCCCTACAGAAGGCCTGAAACTGAGCAAGACTAAGAGACCATGAGGGAGCCTGGAGTCTGAGCCTGGCACAAAGATTGGATACTCTTTATGAGGCAGCCTTGCCCCGAATCTGACATGCACATCTGACAGACATTACATTCTCACGGGCGCGAGAGAACCTACCAACTGCATGTTCTCTAGAAGGACCAAGTATGCGTTCTCTTCCAGACTGGCTAGTATCATGCTTGTCTTTCAAAACCCTTTCAACATTCCCGCACACCAGCAACTTCACAGAACCACTCTCAAGGAATTTCCGGGGCGGCCCTATAGAAGGGGGACCCATAATATGGTCCCTTTAGGGCTTCCTTAACACAGCGCCCCTACATCCGCCTTGGGCATGCCTTCTCCAGATAAGAGCAGGCAGGTGCCAGGCTTGATCACCTGACGAAAGCTTTGCTGTTTAGGTCATAGCCATCCATGCTTGCCTTCAATGCCAGGCCAAATATGCAATCCCAGAAAATGGATGAAGTTGTATTGCAGGACAGCGGGACAAAGCAGGCTTGACTGTGAAAGTGGGACTTGCAAGAGCTGCGATGGATAGCGAGATCTAGGCCTTTCATGTAGCTTGTTGTTGCGTTGAAGTCCGTGGGCGCTAACACCTCTGGTGCCAAATCAGCCACCGTCCAAGGACAGAAAAAAATAAATAAATGCCCATCCGTGTGGTGGTCTTGGGAACTTGGGAGCCTGTATGCCCTCCATGCTTTCATCCGATGGTTTGGGGGAATCGGCTTCTCCATGTTGGAATCCAAAGCTTTGCCTGGAGCTAGGCAGGTTGGACCAGCAGGGTTGCACGATTCCTGCCCACACAGCCCCAACATCTCGCAGCTGGGCATCTTGACCTCATGCCGTCTGACACCCCAGCTGCAGCCCCGCGCGACGCCTACTGCAAGTTCGATTTAATGTTGCAAGTGACACCGGACGCTGTTCTACGCTGTTGATTCTGATAAACTCCTGAAAATCTAATCCAGTGGCGGGGCGCCACATCGGCTTTGCTTCCGCAACACGCCTTTGACTTTCCAGGCTAATTCCCTTGCCGGTACGTCCAGTGAACAACAAATGGCGGTTTGATTAGCGGGCCTCATGTACTCCCAAAATGACATCCTGCTTGTAGCGAGCCCGGGAACAGCCGATTTGGGGTATGATCTGCCACCTTGCCAGGCCCGTTCTTCACAAGCAGTTCACGGCCGTCCAAGTGACACAGCCTATCAGGCAGAGTGAGGGGCAATAGCTTTCAGTGAAAGGAATTCTCGCGCCTGACAGCCCTACCAGTGAGCGCGTCAGCTAGCGTGATCTGAGCAGCCTGAGACCAAAGGTGGTGAAGGCAACCCACTGTGCAGAGGCAGAAAGAGGCGGCTGCTACATGGAGATCGTCCTTCTGGCGGGTGAAACGCGAGTGTGGCTGCACCTCAATCTCCGGAGAAACTCACATTGAAACAGCCACAATGGAAACAGCTGCGTGCTGCACTCTGATTATGCCAATCACATCTCTGCAAGGCCTGAGACGGACTGACAGCTGGCCGAAGGAAAGGAGTGTCCGTGTCAAAACGTTCTCTGGGACATACATGTCACCCCGCCTGCCATCAGCAGTCTGGCAGGAAAGGACTGACCTGAGCTAGCTCTGTGGTTTTCCAGGCCAAGCCAGGAGATGCGAAGACTTTCTAAGAATGAGACCCATCATCCATTCCGGGTTGCACGTGCACCTGCAGAACCTGTAGAGCGAGCGCAAATAGCTCAACCAAACAAGCTACCACAACTGGCTTACAGCACCTCATGCTCATCACGATGCCCCACACCGCGACAGAGCGTGCATGAGCCGTGACCGGACAGTGTAAAGCCACGCCCACGGCAATCCTTGCAGGCCACCTGCACCTTGCCAAAGGAAAGCACTGCTCCCACATGCTTGGCAAGTCTTGTTTCCAAATCGTCAAATGATATGTATACAACCCTGTCCACAAGAACGCATTGACAAAGATTCCAGCAACTCCTTTTCAAGTCCATCTCTCACGTGGTGTGATTGACGTCTGCCCACGTGTGTAGAACATTCAACTCGCTTCAGCGAGCATTTTGAGTGCTTTCAGCATGTTAGTAACGCTGGAGCTATGAAGGACGCGCACTCAACTCAGAATCATAAACTGGAACGAACTCCAAGAGGATTTTGTCAAAAGCTGACGCAGACT